CTAGAGCCTCTAAACATGACAAACGAACGCCCACCTGACATTTTTAATACACTCACACCATGAATTTAAAGTGAATACTGCACAAAGAATGAATGTCATCCGGAATTTATTTCTCGTCAAAAACTTATCATTATAAATTTCCTGTCACCGACTGATAGAACTCAATAGTTAATTAGTTAATTCAATACTCCGGCCCGAAGAGACTCTGAAAAAAATCACGTATTTAAATGTGACGAACATTCTCTTACGAGGATGGGAGGAAGACTAATTTATCGGAGTATTTTCTAAACGTTAGTTGACTAAAACAAGAAGAAACAAGAATACTTTTGCAGCTGTGCCCTCCGAATTTTCTTGGAATTGAAATTTCGCAGAAATAATCCAAGTAAATATCTCTCATACTTGAAGCATTAGTGTTTTGTGTGTTTTTGTTTTCCTTTCTATGTACCAATACATGAGTAGAGGTCGTTTTATCTGAGAAAAATGACGGATTGATGAGCATTCAGAGGACGTCGAGCGTCCCACCCATCTTCGCGCGTCGCGGATCCTCCTGCGCCCACCTGGTGGATCATATTTCAGCAACGGATTGATGGATTTTGATTTTAAAAAATGATAATTATTTATTCCACAAAAAGGAACAACTTTTGTCATGAACATTTTCTTCTATTTGCCAATGTTTCCCATAAAAAAAAANTTTTTTTTGGCTCAAATGAAAGAGCGGGTCGAGAAATGACGTCCTAGAGCGTCTAAACATGACAAATGTCACTAAAGATGCTATCTGTTTTCAATTGAAAAGCAGAGTTGTGACATCATTGTCTAGGAGGACAATGGGGTCTAGGAGTATGTATAGAACATTGGGGTCTAGGAGTCTCCCCTGGTTCAAAACCATCTTTAGAGGTCCTAGCACGCCATTTCTCGACCCGCTCTTTCGTTTGAGCCCAAAAAAACATTCATATCTTGTCTGACATCTTTGCTACAAACTCGGGTTTTCAACTCGGGTTTTCAATTGAAGGCCCGAGTTGTAGACCCGAGTTTGTAGCAGCGATGTCAGACAAGATATGAATGTTTTTTTGGGCTCAAATGAAAGAGTGGGTTGAGAAATGACGTGCTAGAGTCTCTAAACATGACAAATGTCTCTAAAGATGATGTCTGTTTTCAATTGAACAGCAGAGTTATGACATCATTGTCTAGGAGGGCAATGGGGTCCNACCCGAAAACATAAGAAAACACCTCAAAACCTTACCGCACTAGAAGTGCATACGGGAAGGGGGTATTGCGTGTGGACTATTGACCACTTCGCTAGTGAATTAAAAAAAAAATTTTTGAACATGAAATATCCAAAAAAACCAAACAACTCCTACTGGAGTATATTTCTAAGGATTCCCTCCCGTCAAATTGCATAATTTAAAAAAATGCCATCAGTGGATGTTCCAAAATTTTTCCCCGAGTACTCAAAAAATATTTAGCTTTTTCGAAAACAGTCTGTCTTTATATCGCTACACATGAGATACCCTTCGTCATGAATTATTCTACTATCTATAGCATTCAGAACACGCAAAGTATGTGGCGATCGCCGAGGCCTCCAGAATACAGAATACCCCATGATTCCAGCACCCACATTTTCGCGGTTTACCCCTCCCATATTTTCCGGACATGAAGAAGGGTTGATCCGCCACATCCCCAGTTCGAATAGCATCAGAGGGTCCTCGCGAACCGCCATGAATTATTCCAGGGCATTCCCACAGTAGAATGCGTGCTATAGAAATTCCATAGGCACTACAAATACGAAAAAAAATATGGATCAAATTCTATTGGATTTGCTATTGGTTTTTTCAATTCTATAGTTTATCTGCGTTATTTGATAGAACTAGAAAGGTTCAATGGTAAATATTCTATAGAATAAATCAATAGAATTCCATTTTTCTATACAATTTATTCCGTCGTGATATTTTCTCTAGAAAATTCTCGCCTGAATTTCTCCAAGTTTTTGTTTTCCTTGATTTTTTAATGAAAAGAAGAAAAAAATACAACAGAAAGAACTCAGAAAATTCCTAGGGGAAATGTCTCAATAGAAAAAAAAGTCTAGAAACATGAAATTCTAATTTTCATTCTATAAAATAATTCCTCAAAACAGTTCTCCAATAGAACCCCCCAAAACCTAACAGAATTTTTTATCGAATTCACCAGGTTTTTCCATAAAATTATTTCATACCTTCAGATGAATAACTGCAACTTCACGAAAAATATTATTCATGAAAAATCACTGAATCATTGGGAATAAATGAGTATGAAAATTCTAGACATTTATCTACGAACATTTATTTCACACTATTTTGTACAGACATGTTTATACTTCTTCCCCCTTCGTTCAAAGTTGAATATGAAGTCAATGTACAGAATGGAAAACACTGATTCTCTGCTTCTGTTTCACTCGTTTATCCAATCAAAATATCATAAGACGCTGTACATACACAAAAGTAAAACAAAGTAAACAATTTTCTATCTCCCGTGATATGTTGAAATTTCCATTGAATAAATAATAATAATAATAATAATAATGCGAAATTTTATAAATCGCAGAAATTTCACGTCTAAAATTCCGAATGATCAAAATTCGTAATTACTTAAAACAATGAAAATAACGTGAACGAATTCAAGAGTTTCCTAAATGTAACAGCAATAGTGATAATGCAACAATGTGTTTTTGAGCGTCCCATGATGACCCGTCACAAAAAAAAAATCATTTCTCTGGATGGGTTTCGAGTTCACAAGCCCCCATGGCCATGAAAATATCACTACCGAAACAAATTATCACGCTATTTAATAAATACGAATAGTAAATGCTTAAAGTGGCAGGACAATAATCATTGCACAGACTTTGGACGTATTAATTCCCTCTCATTCCAATACTTTAGCGTAATATCGTATCACGCATTGATCCGCGTGATTTGATCCTGTCAACTTATCGTCATTGAGCAAACTCCCTTGGTCAGAGTTATGGCACACCAATACGTATATTTTCTTCGAGATTTCTACCCTGTTAAATTCATCGAATCGAAACAAAATCAAAGAATGGTAATAGTTGAAATGAGTTTTAGTGTAAACACGTGTGGGGAAATTTAATCGAAAGCTCTAGCAATTTTACTAAAAATATTATACTGAATTTTTCATGATAATATTTGATGTAAAAAGGAAAATCGAATTTTATTTTTCTGTAGGATTTTTTAAAAATTTCATTTTTTAAAATTTTTTCAAAGATTTATTTAAAAAATCTATTGGAAAATCGAAGAGAGAACCTAATGGTTTGGAAAAATATTGCGCCGCGCAATCTGGATGAAATGAGGTCAAGCGCCATCTGTTGTGCCTGCTTCCCCCCTCCGACGCAAGGGGCGTCAAAGATGGCGGCGACTTCACTTCGGGTTTTTAAACATTTCTCAAAATTATTTGATCCTTTCAAATCACCCTCAGATCACTCCATTCGATTTCTACAAAATAAACCATTTTTTTAAGCGATCTTTCAGATTTTTCCGTCGCCTTTTGGCTGAGAATTCATGGCACAATTTTTCTTTTACCTCCGAGGCCTCATAATTTTCCCACACGTGTTGAACATTTGATTTTTAATCTGCTCCATAGGACATCTAATACTCCTCCCGTATTCCAAGCTACAAAGTTCAATATGAACTCGACCATCTCTCAATCCTACATATCTCACATTCATCGAAAGAAATGAGTTATATAAAAATTATTAATTATAGTAATCCCAATGTGTACATGAACGAATGCATTAGGTACAAGATTTAATATTTCTCCCCACGCAGTACTGAGTATACGCCTACACTAGAATGATTACATTTTAATATAATACTTGGTTTTTCGTACATTGTCATCCTCGTCTACTCGCGCAATCCTATTTTTTATGAAACCATCGTCTTCCTTGAAAATATGAAGTTTTCGTGTACTTGGCCTCTACGAATACTATTCATTACTCATTCATGTTTTTGGGCTTTTATATCATTTATAGTTGCAAGCATCCCCAAAGTCGTGATGAGTATTCAGCTCAGCACTGCATTTGTACAGATTCCGATACTGTGATATCGAGTATTTTCACAATCCCATATTTTCTCTCATGACTTAAATTATTTCTTTGGGTTTTTTGGTTCCCAGCCAAATTGACTGGAGCTACCGGCACGATCAAACGACAATTAATGAGTTGTAGATGTCATTAAGAGTTTTGTAATAATAATAAATGCAAAGTAGGGGACAGGACCCGGATACTTTAATCACGATTACTACACGATAATGAGACGTACGAATCATGGAAAATCCGAGGAGGCAATCGTGTGAGGAAATTCAGTAGGAAAACCTAGAGCTTTTCCTAGGAAATTTTGTCATTTTCTGTCCGCCAATTGAAGATGACGCAATTTTATTTGCATGTTCTGAAAAGAAAAGTTGAAAAAGAAATCTGAGACTTTTCCAAATCATTTGACAGTCTTCAAAACCCGAAATGGCCACCCCCTCGGGAGAAAAACATACAAGACTTAAAAAATATTTGGCGCCAGTTGCAATTTCCACAAGGACACAGGTCTCGCGAAAACCGTGACTTGTCCCTTTTCCCTGCCACCGATCAAGAAAACGTAGAGAGGAGCGGGTGTCAGAGGTGTCTGACTGGCAACAAGTTTAGCCTTTTGACGTTCAGCTCGTGAAGCACTGACAGCCCTCCTCGAAGGTGACGTTGACCCAAGAGGGAGACTCTTGGGTGGTGCTCTCGGTTGCTTCATCTCCTGAAGCTCAAGAAGTTCCGCGAACGTTTGAGACGCCGAACGCCCGGGCGCGTCCTCCAGAACACTGTCCGGCGGACTATTAAGAATCTTGGCGAATTTGGCATCTTCATTGGTCTCCAACCCGAGATAATTTGGATTGCAGAAGCCGAATTGACCCTCGCGTATCGTCGGCGCCCGATGTTTGCTCGACTTCTTCCTCGAGTCGTGTTTCTCCAGGCAAAAGTCATCCAGCGGATCACCGGGACTCCTCGCTTCTATGCTGGCATAATCCGATGTGGACTCCTCGCCCTCTTCGAGATCAGCGAAGCGAACTGACGCCGAAGTCGGAAGCCTTGTTGTCGGTGTCTTCGGGCTCTGAACAGCTTCGTACAGGTGGGAACTGTAGCTTTCGCCTCTGGTCGGCTGACAGGCTTGATGGAGCGTCTCAAAATCCCCCCGCTCCTCCTCAACATCGATGAGTCTTGTCGAGACATCGGGCTTTCGGGAGTCCTGTCGTCCCTCGCGCTCGTTATCACTGTCCTCATCGGGATCGACGAACACCAGTCTGGCAGCTTCCACCGGCGTCAACACCGGAGTTGGAAGGGTTAGGGCTCGGAAATTTGGCACGGATATTGGTTCCCTCGTCATCCTATTACTACTACGCAGTTGTGAGTCGTAAGAATCATTGTTGAACGAAGAACTTGGATTATTGGCGAAGTTTTTCTGTCGTCTTCTGGCCAACGCGTTGGCACTTCTCGATTTGACCATTCGACTGTTGAGGCTCGTTTCGGCCAGTTCAGCGTCTACTTGTTGGAACGGATAGTAGGAGTTAGCTTCTTGGGAATACTGATTGTGATTGTGCTCGTCCTCGTGGTCCTCCTGACCGCTCAGGACGGAGTAGCTGCATTTGTTGGGATGACTGAGTCGGGAGAGATTGATCTGCGAGAGTTTCGAGATTTCCCGGAGGAAGCTTGGCCTCGTGCTGTTGCCAGGCGTCTGGCACTCGTCGTTCGCGATTCCCGCGAGGGAAAATCGCGGCTTGCGGGGGCCCTTCGACCGCTGATTCTCCTGCACACCATTCCCACGGATGACTAGTTCTGACACTGCTAGGGCCACACTTTCGGCTCGCGGCTGGGGCTTCGGCCCCGGCACCAGGAGGCGCTCCCAGGCTTCTGTGCCGAAGTGGAAACGCCAGAGCTCGTTGGTCGCAAGCCCACCGCTCTCACCACCGAAAATGAGCATGCAACTTGGCAGTCGACAGGCTGCGTGCCCGTGGAGAGGACCAGGACCTGGTTTGCTCTTCAGCAAGTACCAGGAACTCGCGTTCACGTCCCATCTCCAGCAGTCGTTTCGCTCTTGGAGGTCTGTCATGCCGCCGTAGATGTACATTGCGTCACAGTGGAGGACTGCTGAGTGCTTGTGCCGGGGGGCTGGGCCGCTCTCGCCTGGTTGGCAGGCGGATGACGATGACAACAGATGCCAGGATTCTGTCTCGAAGTGGAAGGCCCAGAGCTCGGAGGAACTACCCCGGAGGTCCTGGTAGCCACCGTACACCAGCATTTGGCCACGGTGGACAAGCGCTGTGTGACCGCGCCGGCCACGGGGCACCGCACAGCCTCTTTGGGCGCGGATCTTCCGCCAGAAGTTCGTCTGTTGGCAGAAAAGGACGAGGGATTGGAGGGCTTGCTGATTATGAGTTGAGGGATTGCAACTTTTGAGTGGAAATTCATGATATTGAAAATTTGGAGTTGGATTTGGAGTGTTTTACAAGACAGATGATATTTTTTAAATTGAATGGGTGAAATTAAGCATTTAAGAGGTCCCAAAATTTGTTCTTTCTCTAGGAACTGAATGAACCGAGTTGAAGTTGATCTGAAAAAGATAAATAACTCTAAGAGATGTTCAAAAATATGAGGTGGTCGGCAGGTGCGAGCGGCGCCTCTGTCGCAAGGGGATTCCAAGATGACGAACGCTCCACCTGGTGTTTTTAAACATTTCTTAAAATTATTCAGCCTCTTTACATTGTCACTAACTTACTTCATCCGATTTCTGCAAAATGAATAAATTTTTTGAGCCATCTTTCAGGTTTTTTCTTCCCCTTTTGCCTGCTTTAGGGATAATTTAAATCCAGGATGGGTTACCTTGACTGAGTAGACCCACAACGGAGTTTCTGTTCCCGCTGAAAATCCCAGTTCCCCACCAAAAACATACAAGCAATCCTTGTACGAAACTGCGCTATGTTCCTGGAGGGCCGGAGGTCTCTCTCCGCTCGGATGCAATTCCTCCCATCGACTTTCGGCTGGGGGAACGAGAAAATAAATTAGAAACGACGGAGAGGTCGATTAATTTTTCAACGGTTTTTGTATTAAAAAACATCCGAAGCTGGGTAGTTTTCCCTCGATTTTTCTCAACGTATATGAACGCGCGAACGTGCTCCGAAGCAGCATTTTTTATCAGCATTGGCCTCCGCCTTGATGTACGTACTTGTTAAGAATGCATGCTAGAGCACTCTCACTCCGTTCTTTAGGTGCTGTAATTTTTTATTGCACGAAGTCATCAAGTTTTATTATCCCGATAAAATCGTTATTTTTTACTCGCGAGTGGAAGTCCTGTAATCGTTCTAATTTAGATGCAGATTTTTATTCATTATATCGACCTATTGTGATTCGATTTCATTTTCATTTCATTTCATGCAGGATTAAATTAAATACAATTAAAGTATAATAATGAAATTAATAAGATGAACAGTTCAATATAATATTCATAACGGAAAGCATTACTTATATTGCTTATATCCTAAAAATTACAAGATTACCTAATTTATCGAAATGACTTGATAATATACATAATAAAATTTTTTGCTTATATTTTTTTATATTAAAATTTATTATATTGGATTTTATTCAATAGTAAAAATTTTTATATTGGGTTTGACACTCGTGGGAAAAGTGTTCTTTGACCCTTTGACCCTCGGGAAGTGTTTCAAAAAACACATTTACGCACTCGTATCGAAATATAGTATTTTTGTTGGGGAATTCTCCGAGTAGTTCAGAGGTGTGATCGTGACGAATGCCCTCACATTGCGATTCAATTACCGAAAGAGGATTTCGTAGTAAAACAAACTCACCGAGGCTATATCTCCATAAATCTCTCAAGGGTAGGTTACCATTCCTCCCCCCGAGAAGGTAAACATGCCCTCCCAATAGCGTCGCACTGTGTTTACTTCGCGAAGGAGGTGCCGGGCCATTTTCCATACCGGCGGCTGTCACCGAACTCCACATGTTTTTTTATCCTCTTTGAATTCAACAGTTTATCAAAAATTCAATGATTCCTGTAAAATGAAGATGCGATAATTCACACGGGAAGTGCGATTTTATTTTTATTTTTAAGAGATCAAAAAATCGCAAATAGGCCCCACTTTCTCCTGATTATTAAGTCTCATTTTTTTTTTGTGAAAAGTGGATTTTTTGTTTGGGAAATGTAGACTAAATCCTTCTTGGAAAATTGTCGGCGCAAATTTCCGGTGGAAATTTCGATCAAATGATTGTTTCATTGAAATTTCAAGGAATTTCTGAATTGCAAATTTACGATTTGATGAAAAAATCAATGGAAAGCAATTGAAGTAAAGTCCATTCCATTCATTCTATTTTTGCAAATAATATTTTTATTCAGCCGTTTTCACAATAAAAATTCTAATTTTTAATTTTCGCATTTGTTAGAAAATCGCTTGTCCCATGATAACTAAAAAATTTTCACAATCGGACGGCTGTGCGACTGGGGTTTTACATGGTTTCCCGTGCAGTCCTAGCTCGAATGGGGCACAGCTAAGAGTAAGACGGCCATGATACCGCAGATAACAATGAGAGGAAAAGTAAAGGAGGGGAGGGCAGGCTAGAGCAGGGGTTTCAAATCGAGAACTACTTCGATAAAAACCAATGAAATAGAAAAAATAAAAAAAATAAAAACTGTACTATACGCAATACAAAAACAATTTCCCACTAGTTTTGCAATTCTATGAGGATATTGTCGCGAAGTCCACGTAATACTCTAGAAAGTCACGAGATCATTTTCTTTAATTCCACCTCAGCTATTTAATTGTGACAGTGAACGAACAGTTCTTTGTTTCCCCAGTGAAAATAGTCTCTTTCCCCACTTCCTATCATTCGTCACACTCTTCACTCGAGCTTTCAGCGCTCACGTAGGTAGATATAGCACGGCGAAGCATTCATTAATGCATGTCAAGGGATAGAGACACGAGGAAAAAAAAGAAGTACTGAGTGTAAAGCCCCGCTATATCCTATTAGCCCATGTAACTCATGACCCACATGTCTCAGGCGGCAATCATATGAGCTCAAGTAGCTCATTGATTGTTCCCGGCTACATTGTACACATAATCATCATTATCCAGCGCGAATAAACCCGCTTCATTAACTCTAATCACAAAAAAAAACGTTAATTAAAAAATTTTGTTTCGCTAAGTTTTCGGTTTTTCGTGAATATCTCGAAACCCGGGGGAAATACGAATATTTTCGTGAAAAGCTTTTTTATAGAGCGTAAAAAGAGCTACAAAAAAGGTCCCATTCGAAAATCCGGTATCTCCCTTCGTTCTTGAGATATTCAGCAAAAACGAAAGTGAGAATGGAATGCTGGTGGGAATGGATGAAATTCTCGTTTCATTGATTTATTTATTCAACGATTGTTTAAAGCGACGTGCCAAGCTATCATGTTTACGTCGTTAATTGATACAGCGAATAAACAATGGAAACGAGAAATTAGCGGGAGGACAATCCAGGAAACTCCCTGGAAAACATTGAATCTTTATTTCCGCGAGTTTTGAAACAACTTGCAAGTTTCGATGTGTCCCGTGCTAGCTATTGTCGGTTGAAACTAGATTGCCTGAATATTCAGTGATCCATAAATGAAATACACGAGACACGGGAAAATACCTACAGTAATTCAGGCCGAATAAAAAAATATTTTTAAAATGCACAGAGGAAGAAAATTCATGGAAAAGGATGCGGAATTCGATAGGAAATTCTGTTGGATTTCTACTACATTTTTGGTGAGAATTCGGTTAGTTATTGACGATTTTATTGAAGAATCCCGCAGCTTTACTGCGCGTTTTTTATGCGAACTGGACAATAGAAATTGTTTTATAGAAAAAATCGGAAATTTTGTTTTTCTGTAGAACTTTTTCTATTGAGATATTTTCTATAGAATTCCTTCGGCTCGTATTTTCCATGTTTTATTCATTCAATTTTTCTTTTCTTTTCACCAAGAAAATAAAAAAAACCTGAAAAATGTCGGCCCCAGAAATTCTATAGAAAATATCCTATAGAAAAAGTCAATAGGATTCGATTTTTCTATACAACTTATTGTATTGAGATATTTTCTATAGAATTTCGTCGGCTCAAATTTTCCTTATTTTTTTCATTTAATTTTTCTTTTCTTTTCATCGCGAACACCAAATAAAAAAACTCGGAAAATTCAAACCGAGGAAATTTTATAGAAAATATCTCAATAGAATAAGTTGTATAGAAAAATCGAATTTCATAGAATTTTTTTGAAATTCGATTTTTCTATAGAAAAATTTTTTTATTTAAAAAAAATTTTTTTTAATCGAATTTCAAAAAAATTTTATGAAGTTCGATTTTTCCATACAACTTATTGTATGGAGATATTTTCTATAGAATTTCGTCAGCTCAAATTTTCCTTATTTTTTTCATTTAATTTTTCTTTTCTTTTCATCGCGAACACCAAATAAAAAAACTCGGAAAATTCAAACCGAGGAAATTTTATAGAAAATATCTCAATAGAATAAGTTGTATAGAAAAATCGAATTTCATAGAATTTTTTTGAAATTCGATTTTTCTATAGAACTTATTCTATTGAGATATTTTCTATAAAATTTCCTCGGTTTGAATTTTCCACGTTTTTTTATTTGTTTTTCGCGAGGAAAATTAAATGAAAAAAACATGGAAAATTTGAGCCGACGAAATTCTATAGAAAATATCTCAATACAATAAGTTGTATGGAAAAATCGAACTTCATAAAAGTTGTTGAAATTCGATTTTTCTATAGAAATATTTTTTTATTTTTTTTTTATTTTTTTTTAATCGAATTTCAAAAAAATTCTATGAAGTTCGATTTTTCCATACAACTTATTGAATTGAGATATTTTCTATAGAATTTCGTCGGCTCAAATTTTCCATGTTTTTTTCATTTAATTTTCATCGCGAAAATCAAACAAAAAAACTTGGAAAATTCAAACCGAGGAAATTTTATAGAAAATATCTCAATAGAATAAGTTGTATGGAAAAATCGAATAGACACCATCGGGTAGAAATATTTTTTACTAAACATTCCAATAAAATCGGTCAAGAACTCCTAGAAAGTCCACCAGAAAACCAGCACAATTTCCTCGCGAAAGCTCTAAATTTGTCTATAAAAATTTTTCCTCCGAGAACCACTAGACATTTACTCATTATTCTCTCTTCTAAACTTCCGTCAATTCGCATTGCAAAAACCCTTCTCAAAAAACCCCCGAATGCCGTGAATGCACCCCGATCATCACAATATTGACACATTAACTCGAGCACCATCGGACATTAGTCTCTCGGCACTCACGTTTCTCAGCAAATCCCCCGTTCACGCGATTCCCCGCATAACAGTGTGTCCATTCCACCGATTCGCAACAACCATAATCACACCGGTGTTTCTCCTCCACTCGATAAACCCCGAATTATCGTATCACAAGAGACAACGGTAGTGTGCATTCTTTTTATCATCACCAGATTGATTGCTCCCTAGTACTGCGCCCGGGTCGCGTAACCGGAGGCCCGATGTGGCGTGTCATCGTGGGAATCAACGCACGCGCAAACACCCCCGCAATATCTTCTTTCGAATAAAATAATATTCCACGAATGCTACGAGTGATATCCAGCATTTCGGGGGATTACCGCGTCCCTCTGTCATCAATGTAACCGATTTTATTCATGAGAATGGGCAAATCCTCGTGATAGTCGTGATAAAGTCGTCGCATTATTCACGATCTATTGTGCATTCGGGGGATGGAGTCGCGGAATTTATGAAATAGGTCGTCAGAAATTTTCTTTGCCCATTTTTTTTTTCCGCAATGGGAGGCTTCCGAGGGAGAGACGTACGAAATAGCGCAGATCTTCTTTCTTAGTTGGAATGAGTAATTGAGGAGATTGCGGGGATGCGAAACTGAATTTGAAGGGCTAACGAAAAATCAGGGGATAATTGCAATTGTCAACAGACGCATGCGTCCCGCGTCGGTTGCCATGGCTGCAGGATGCGAGAGGCAGCCTCATGTGGTTGCGTATTGATTATCTGGGTATCTCCGGTCTGTCGGCATTCGACAATATCCGTCTTTATCATTTTTGTATCGTCGGAGTTTTTGCAGGTTGATGGCTGTCAATTTTTCGAGGGTGAGGGTGACTGGGGCGAGGGTTTTAATTAGGTTTTTTGTTGTTTCTGATGGGCTTCTTAGGCTTGAGAAGCAGCAGCTCTTCATTTATGCCTCTGGCCCAGTTAGGGGAGTTGTTTGGGTCGAGGGAGAGGAGAACAAAAAATTTTTATGGTTTTTTAAAATTTAAATATCCATTTATTTCAATTTTCTGCAATTTTTATTTTTATTTTCATGATTTTATTTTTTATTACTGTTATTTTCTCCTTATTTTCAATTGAAAAATGGAAATAATTCATTTCACTTTCATTTTTATCTTTATTCAGTTTTTTTTACATTTTTATATCGATTTTTTGGCAGATCCCATTCGAATTTTTTCACTGCGTTGGAATCTGATGATTTAATTAATTTATTTGTTGTCTGTCTTTATCATTGTTGTTTCGTCGTAGTTTTTGCACGTTGATGGCTGTCAATTTTTCGAGGGCGAGGGGGCGAGGGATTCAATTAGGTTTTTTGTTGTTTCTGATGGGCTTCTTAGGCTTGAGAAGCAGCAGCTCTTCATTTATGCCTCTGGCCCAGTTAGGGGAGTTGTTTGGGTCGAGGGAGAGGAGAACAAAAAATTTTTATGTTTTTTTAATTTTAAATATTCATTTATTTCAATTTTCTTCAATCTTTATTTTTATTTTCTTGATTTTATTTTTTATTCATTTTTTTTACATTTTTATATTGATTTTTTGACTGATTCCATTCGAATTTTTTCACTGCGTTGGAATCTGATGTTTTAATTCATTTATTTGTTGTCTGTCTTTATCATTGTTGTTTCGTCGTAGTTTTTGCAGGTTGATGGCTGTCAATTTTTCGAGGGCGAGGGCGACTGCGGCGATGGGTTTAATTAGGGTTTTTGTTGAGAAGCAGCAGCTCTTCATTTATGCATCTGGCTCAGTTAGGGGGTTGTTTGGGGCGAGAGAGAGGAGAATAAAAAGTTTCTACATTTTTTATTTTATCATTTAAATATCCATTTATTTCAATTTTGTTCATTTTTTATTTTTATTTTTTCCATTTTTTTTATTGTTGATTTAATTATTGTTATTGTTATTTACTCATCGATTGAATTGTTTTGTTTTAGTTTTTTTATTGAAAAATCGAAAATATCTGATGACTTTTAAAAATCGTCTATTTGAATTTCATTTTTATTGTTATTTTGTTAATATTTTCATGCTTATTTTTTGTCTGATTCCATTCGAATTGTTTCACTGCATTGAAATTTGATGATTTGTTATCTCTTTTCATCATTTGTGTATCATCAGGGTTTTTACAAATTAATGGGCGTCAATTTAATTAGATTTTTTCTTATTTTTGATGGGTTTCTTAGGTTTTGTTGACGTATTTGGTTTACGAATGAAGCAGCAGCTCTTCATTTATGCATCTGGCCCAGTTAGGGGGTTGTTTGAGTCGAGGGAGAGGAGAACGAGAAATTTCGGCGGTTTTTTCATTTAGATATTAATTTATTTCAATTTTCTTAATTTTCAATTTTTATTTTCATCATTTTATTTTTATTGTTGTTATTTCCTCATTGTTTGCGATTGAAAAATGGAAAATATCTGATGATTTTTAAGAATTATTCATTTGGATCTATTCATTTTTCGTCTGACTCCATTCGAATTTTTTCACTGTGTTGAAATCTGATAATTTAATTCATTAATTTGTTTATCCATCACATCATTTTTTGAGACATTTGATTAACTTTATCAATTGGTTTTCATTTTATTTCTCTAATTTCGTGAGAATTATCCAAATGCGTTAAAATCTTATCCTTTAAAATTCACTGCCTCATTCGTTGAAATTTATTTCTTCATTCATTTCATATCATTTTCTTTTTGTCAATGAAGTAACACCAAGTGACGATATTCACCTCCCCCATCACAGCGGAACTAATGACAAATAATTTCGTAAACTGGAGTATCTGCGGAAGTTGATAATTAATTTTCGTTTCGCGTTGTGACAGTGTATCGAGGACAAGGACATGGAGATACAGAGGGAGAGGATTTTTGGTGCTCGCGTATGGCGATTCTCTTCGCGGGAAATTCTTTCCGCAGAGGGAAATTAAACAGGGAAAATTGTAACTGTAATTGGACGTGATTTTTGTACATGAAAGACGAGGATGATTGTGATAGAAGGGCTTAATGGCCGGTGCTCGAGCTGCCGACCGCGGATCGTATGTTGTAGTTTGTGGGAGAGTATATAATTGTAATGAGCATGACGAGCCAAAAGTGACACTCTCGTTTTCACTCGAAGTCTCCCTGTCACACTCGGTGAATCCGCAATTTTCTTTTTTTTTCTTCGCTTGGATGTTTGGATTGTACTTTCCATACACTTATGTATTTTATTTTATTTTATATTATTTTATTTTATTTCATTCATTTCATTCAATTTTATAATTTCATAAACGTCTAAATTTTTCTTTATAATAGAATTCTCGAATCAATTCTAATTTCATAAAGAAGCTTAAAAATGAATTTTATCATTATTAATCTTGAAATTTCACTGGAAATGTAATGAAATTCCAAGTTTTAAGCAACAGAAAGACTTAAATTTCTTAATTTATTGAAATTTTCACCTGAAAAATCATAATGGGTTCTAAATTACGCAGTATTTTCCATTAATTGAGAATTGAGGAATATATTTACCTGAATTTTCTTGATTTTTATCAATTTTTCTGCCATATTATTTTATTTTATTTTATAGAATTCTAGAATCAATTTTAATTTCACAAAGACGTTTAACAATGAATTTCATTATTAAACTTGAAATTTCACTGGAAATTTAATGAAATTCAAAGTTTTAAGCAACAGAAAAACTAAAATTTCTGAACTTATTGAAATTTTCACTCGAAAAATCAGTAATGGGTTATAAATTACGCTGTATTTTCCATTAATTGAAAATTCAGGAATAGATTTACCTGAATTTTCTTGATTTTTATCAATTTTCTGGCAATGATTTAACTGAAATTTCCCTTTCCCCTTTTCATTTTCTCATTAAACTTTCAATATTCAACGATGAAATTCCTTGAAATTTCAGTGGAACTATCACTGGATGAAAATATCCAGCGGACAGGAAAATATGGACTCCCAGAGTCAATTTAAACTCCGCGAAATGTTTAACAATAAATTGTATCATTATTAAACTTGAAATTTCACTGAAAATCCAGTGAAATTCAAAGGTTTAAGCAATAGAAAGACTACACTTTCTCGACTTACTCGAATTTTCACTTGAAAAATAAGTAATCGGTAGTAAATTACGCAGAATGTAATTAATTTGTAATTAATTCCCATCGAATCCTCTCATTCTTCACTATTTCGTCAAATCCAAATAGTAACGCTGACAAAACCGAAATGAAAGTCGGGCAACCCCGAAGGGCGAATCCGCTAGGCCCCCGTCAGCTCACTAATGAGCGTCCACTCCCCGTATAAATACTGAAACCGGAGAAATTGGAGAGCCACACGTTACTCTCGCCTCAGTCAGACAATCCTCAGTGCAGTCCTCCACCGCAAAAAGTCCCTCCAGCAGTACAAAAAATCGCAACAAATGACTTGATATTCCCGCTGTTGCCATCGAAATGTCTCGGTACTATCGTTATTGCTGTACCTCCGTAATCGTGATTGCCCTTGTGATAGAATCTCAGACAGTTTCAGTGCGGCCTGACGCGAATGACGATGAACCCATGAAACCGTCTCCCGTCGACGGGAATCAACAGGCGGTCAATGAAAATTCAAAGATAATACTGGACCGGAGCGTCGCCGATAGCGCAAACACTAGTAAAAATAAACGGGAGGATAACGATGGCGATAAGAGTGATGTGAAATTCGGGAACAGCGTCGATCAGAGGGAGAAGGAGATACGGAAGTTCTCGGGGGCTTATGGTGATATCAATAAATTGTAATGGGGGATGAGGATAATTAACGATTTTTATGTATTATTATATATTTTTCAATTTTTTTTTTCATTTCATATTACGAAATCTATAAAAAACTAGATTTTTTTTTTTGGGAAGTCTTGAGAGACTTTTTTTTTCATTTTGCATTACAAAATCTCAAATAACAAATTTGAATTTTTTTTGGAAATTGTTGAGAGAAGAATTCCCAACAAAATGAATTAATTCGTCAATATGAATTGGAATAAAGATAAATGTGGTATTATTATACATTTTTTATTTATTTTTATTTCCCATTACGAAATCTAAAAAAAAATAGAATTTTTTTTTGAGAAGTCTTGAGAGACTTTTTTTTTCATTTTGCAATACAAAATCTCAAATAAAAGATTTGAATTTTTTTTTGGAAATTGTTGAGAGAAGAATTCCCAACAAAATGAATTAATTCGTTAATATGAATTGGAATAAAAATAAATATTGTATTATTATAATTTTTTTGTTATTTTTTTTTCATTTCACATTATAAAATCTAAAAAAAAATGACAGACATTTTTTTTTCATTTTGCATTACAAAATCTCCCAAAAAACTTGAATTTTTGTTGGGAAGTCTTGAGAGAATTCACGACAGAATTAGTGAATTTGTCAGTACGAATTGAATTTAAAAAAAATGTTATTTCGATTATTTTTTGAAGACTTTTAATCAATATGTCTTGTTGTTCACAGTTGTTTCGTCAACTTCTCGGAGGCTTATGTGGTAGGGGAGGTTGGGGTAAAACGGACACTTTTAACTTTTTTTAAACTGTTATTAAGGGGTTGAAATGTTGATAAAATTTTATAATTTTTTTTTTCAATATAAAGAACAATTCTTTCCCTTTGTGGCGAGCCTAAACTGAGCTCAATTGATAAATTTGTTTCTGAGTTATGAATAATTTTAAAGAAGTCTAAAGTGTCCATTTTACCCCACCCTCCCCTATAGCTAAATTACAATAACGAATTTTACGATTTTTATATACTTTTTTTCATTTCGCATTAAAAAATCGAAAAAAACTTGATTTTTTTTGGAAATTGTTGAGAGAAGAATTCCCAACAAAATGAGTTTTTGTCAATATGAATTGAGATGAAAATAAATATTGTTTATAATGTTTGTTATAAATATTGTTTATAATATAAAATTAATTATAAATATTGAAATATGTCGTTAATATGTATTGTTGTTTATATTTGTTTCCGTCAAGTCCGCACTGCTGTGGAGCTAGATTCGAAGTGTCCGGTCGTCCATCCGAATCCGGTCAGCAAATCCCACCGAGGCCATCCGACAGTGATCGCTACCCAAGTCGCTTCGGAAATCGACCGGACGATCGGTAAGTTGTGTGTAATTAATCTCGTTCATCAGAGGATTAATGAATGGTTAAGGTACGGTTGGCAGAGCACACCTGGACGACCCACTGGGGCCTCGACGCCCGGCGGAAGTCTCTACGGCAGCCAAGGAAGTCCACCCAACAGGTTATTACTGATATTTAATGTAACAGTGGAGTGATAACGGGATAAGCCCATTTTTCTCCAGAGAATTTGAGACTTTCAAAATTGTTATTGATGTCGCGATTCCCATGCGATTATACACACACCCGTCGGGAAATATTTCTAATGGCCTGGTGACGTAATCTACTATTCCCTAATTTATCAAAGACCATTACTCAAATTTTTGTTCTCTTCATTTTCCTACTTTGACGTGTAAACATCTCAGCCCTCGTTATCGAAATTTTGTGGTAGAGTAATCCCCGGTAAATATCATGTTACGAAAAACCCAACGGAAGTTGCGCAGTCGACTACTGCGCATGGCGGGAATACGATGCGCACAGTCATGTGTACATGTACTACGGATACACTCTCGAGTAAAGGTGCTCTCGCTGTCGCTACAATGCCCCAAAGTTAATTGAAATATCTCGAAAACTATTGAGAACTCATCGAGACATCCAGTGTGACAAATGCAAGAAATTTCATACCAAATAAAATGGTTTTCAACTCACATCTCTACGAATCGCAGTTCTCAGGATGTGGACGTTTGTAGATAGGAGCGCCCCACGGTGCACGCGCTCTCTCAGAAACTAAAGGTCTTAAGCTACTTAATTAAACAGATGATAACATCTCGAAAATCATAAGTCGTAGATACATGAGTAAAAAACCATTTTATTCATCATAAAAACCTCAATAATTACACACCAGCATCATTTTCATATTTTGATATTTTGATGTGTAAACATCTCAGCCCTCGTTATCAAAATTTTGTGGTAGAGTAATCCCCGGTAAATATCATGTTACGAAAAACCCAACGGAAGTTGCGCAGTCGACTACTGCGCATGGCGGGAATACGATGCGCACAGTCATGTGTACATGTACTACGGATACACTCTCGAGTAAAGGCGCTCTCGCTGTCGCTACAATGCCCCAATGTCAATTGAAATATCTCGAAAATGATTGAGAAGTCATCGAGACATCCAGTGTGACAAATGCAGGGAATTTCATAACAAAGAAAATGGTTTTCCATTCACATCTCTACGATTTGTAGTTCTCAGGGTGCGAACGCGCGCTCACAGAAACTGAAGGTCTTAAGCTACTTAATTAAACAAATGAGTAAAAAACCATTTGTTTACCACAAAAATCCCTTAAATTCCTGACGATGTAGGTCTTGATGATTTTAAATGTTCAAAGCGATTATTCGTGCTTCATTTTTAAATCTCAGTTATTAATTTATTAAAATGTCTCTATTTTTTGAACAATGACTTCTTCGAATGATCGAAAAATAATGTTTTATGGAAAATTGAAGGTATGGCTGGCGTCCACCCTACGGCTCCGGTTCAGACTCGGATTATGGGAGACCCCCGGGTAGCCGACCACCATCCAACCGACCGGGATACAACTACGGAGACAGTGGGGCCTACGGCAGCAGTGGATTTGAAACGAGTCGCCCAGGAGTTCACTTCGTCTCGGGATCGCGACCTGGAAGTGGTTACGGAATTCATGGAACCATAGGCGAACAGGATGAGTTCCCCGGGGATGCCGGGGCAGCGGATGCTCCACCGCCCATGCCGCCCAACATTCACACGCAGAAAGTTAGTCATTTGGCTTTTTATTCATTCAATTGAAGCAAAATTAGTGAATTTTAATTTAGTTTTCCCCAAATCTTTCGGAAATTCTCGGGGAATTTGTTTTATAACTGATGACATTCATAACAAAAATTTATTTTATCGCTTTTGTTTTAATTCGATCAATTTTTAATTGATTAATTTCCACCAAAATGCAAAAAATTGACTTTCCAGTAATAAAATTTCAATTGACGATCAGTTTTTGCTGAATATCTCGAGAGTAAAGTGAGATGACGAAATTATCATGGGAATCTTTTTTATAGCTGAGAAAATTTCCAACAAAAAATATTTTCTGACATTTTTCTCTAGAACCACTTGCTGTCGAGATAAATCACTTTGAAGCAAAATGCGAAAAATTGAATTGTTATTTATCAAATTTTATTCAACCACCGATGTCTGCAGAATATCTTGGAACTGAAGAGAGATTAGTGAAATTCTCGCTAATTATATTCTGCATTTTTAGAGAAATTTAGCGAAAAATGTCGTAACTTCACTATTAAAAAATCCTCAATCGAATTCCAATCAATAAAATCCTTGATTATCCCATCAGGCAGTTGCACTGAAGGCTCTGGCAGGAGTTGCACTCCTCGGTGCAGCGGCAGCCCTCGCTGCCAACCCCGTTCTCCTGCCAGTGGGAATTCTCGCTGGTCGAAGAAGACGAGCAGTCGAGGGCACATTTCCCTCTGACGATCTGCAATTCCTGAATGGATTCCTCAAGGATCACGTCCCTGGGATCGACGGAGAAGCCACCAGTGAGGCGTTCTGGAAGGAGCCCAAGTGCATCGCTCGACTGACTTGCGAACTTCAACAGCACTACCTCAGGACCATGAAAAATGATGCATCATTGGTGCAGAAGGCGCACATCCTGAAACGACGACTCGAAGAGCAGATGCAACAGCTGTGAGTATTCCCTATTTTTCATGCAGTCGTCTCGAGATATTTAAAGAAAAATTGCCCCGTGTGATTTTTTGCTGAAGTTGCAGGGAAATTTCAAAGAATTTTGTGATTGAAAATTGAAAGACTTTAGGAAAATTTAGGGGAATATGTTCTTCAATTTTTTATCTTAAGTTTAATCTTCAAAAATTGGGAATTTTATTAGATTTTTAGTGAAAGTTTAATATTTTATGCCATGAAATTAAGTTAATCTGAATGAATAAGATTTGAAAGAATTTTGTTATTGAATATTCAGAATTTTATGGAAATATCAGCGGAAACTGTTGATTTTAGTTAATTTATTCGATGAAAATTGAAAGAAATCAGTAAAATTCAGGTAAATATATTCTTGAATTTTTAATTGATGGAAAGTGTGGAATTTTAATGTTCAAAATTTGTGAATTTTATTAAATTTTTAATGACATTTGAATATTTTATGCCATGAAATTAAATTAAATTGAATGAATGAGATTTTCAAGAATTTTGTCATTGAAAATGCACCATTTTATGGAAATATCGGAATTTCATTAAATTTTTAGTGAAATTTCGATATTTTTCAACATGAAATGCAACAAAATTAATTTTCTCAACAATTTTTTATAATTGTAGAAATTAGAAAAAGAGAAAACAATTAATTAGTTAAATTTTTTCCAGCATAAAAAGTGAAATTTTCAGTGTAGAAGGTATCAGCCGCAGCCTCCAGCACCTTCTAAAAATCCCCAGCAACAATAATCCCACTGAGAACAGCTGTAATATTCTCAACTGTAATTTATATGTACCATAATCAAAATATCAATAACCTATCGAAATGTATCATAAACGAAATGATGAGAATCATCATCATCATAACTAGACAAAAATGCGTATGAAAAAAAACATAAAATTTATGATTATAATCCATGAGAGAATGTTTATTTCGAATATCGATTAATACCTATCGGCGGAGTTCAATCAATTTCAATTTCCTATTCAATTTTGTCGTCCCCCTTTCTTCGTATTTAACAAATTTCCTCATATTTAACAATTCCTGCAGAGTTAGTGAGATTATCGAAAAGAAGGTATGTCAATTGGCATTATTTAATGAGTGAAACGCTCATAATAATTATTAATAAGTAGCAATATATAATAGATTTTGAATACAAAGTTTTTTTTTCATGTTAAACGGGCTAGGTGAGTTTCTTGGCTTTCTGGTAGAGAGTATCCACGACTTTTCCCATACTGTGTATTGTGTCTAGGGCAATCTCATAGGTTTTGTCACGTGGGGTGTCCTCGAAGACGATTAGGACACCCTCGCCTTGGTCGAGGACCCCCAGGAGCTTTTTGTCGAGAATCATTTGGGAGAGTTTCTTTTCAACTTGAGCAAGTGGCAAGGCTATGCACGATGCTATGTGGGCAACCTATAAATAATCAAAAGAATTAGCTAGTGATTGATTCAATGGATTTTTTATTTTTTTCTGTTTTGGCTGAGATGAAAAAATAAAACAATTGTGAATTTTCCGAATTTTTCACTATTTTTTTCAGATTTTTTGGGCCATTTATTCAGAATTTAATGAGAGAGACTATTTAAAATGGATTCTTAGAATAAAAAATGGGATTTAGAATGAGAATTGAACTTGAATTTATTCCCTTCATCATCAAAATTTAATGAGATAAACTATTTAAAATGGGTTTTCAGAATAAAAAATGGCGTTTAGAATGAGAATTGAAATTTAATTTCTTCTCTTCAATATCGAAATTGATAGATAGTTTATTTGCAGACAAAAACGAAAAAAAAAGTTGATTTTAATTGAATTTGCAAATTACATTCCTTCAATTTTGAAAATTAAAATTGAATTCTCACCGTAAAAAATCAAGTTAAAAACAAAAATTGAATTTCTTCTCTTCAGTTTGAAAAACAAAATAGATAAAAAACTTTCAAATAATTATTTTTCACAATTATCGTAAATGAGTGGGATTCAATGCTAATTATCGTACCTGTACACGAGAATAGGGCTCGACCAATCTGCACAGATTTTGTTCAAGCATTGTATCGTAAAGTGATCCAAGATGAGCCCTAACAATAACATCCTCCTCGAGTTCCTGACGATAATTCTTAACAGCACACTGAAAATCAGCGAGTGATCGTTTGTGACTGGCTTCGGCGACAGCTTTCATAGCATCCAAATCACGGCCGGCGTATTTAACCGCCAGTTTACCAGACATTATTGCCTGCACATCCTCGGGGGTGCGAAGCATTATCTTCGATAGTAACATGTATTTGAGAGCTGTCAATGCCTTTGGACTGTCGACACTGTCATATCTGGAAATTAATGCCAATAGGTGAATCATGAATTGATGGCCCTCTAGACTTATTTTTCACATATCAATAATTAATACTATTATTATTATTTATAATGTGAATGTTAATAATTAACTAAGATAATTTCAAAGACAAAAACCATTGGTAATCAATTCAGAAAATTTTTCTTAAGAAGAATTTTAATGAAGACTTTTCAAAAAATGATTTGAAAAAATCTACTTAATAACAGATTAATTGTTAGAATATCAAAATTTTGTAATTTAAAATGTTTCAAAGGGGCGACAAAACATTGATTCAAATTAAATCTTTCGAAATATATTTCTGGAAAATACTTTCAGCTTCAAAATATAAATTAAATTCATGAAATGAAAAAAAATGGGAAATGAGGATTTATAAAAAATGAATTCAGTAGCGAAGTGGTAAAAAGAGTCAATTTTGACTATTGACCAGTTTTCAATCTATATTTCGGAATCTAAGGGAGATAGCAAAATTTTTGTTATAACCTTTTTTATGGAGCCGATTGAGTGCTACAACAAATGTGATTACAAAAATTTCGCCATCTCCCTTAGATTTGGAGATATTCCTTAAAAACTCATCTGGGAGATAAGTCGACTTATCTCCGTTTACCACTTCACTACTGAATTGACAATGAGCAAAATGTTAAATGAATTTATGAAAATAAATGGACAATAAAATGTTAAATTACCCTTCAAATGCCTCATAAAAGTACGAATAAGCAGTCTTGAAATCTCGTTCATCAGCAGCATGAAGAATCCCAGACTGCAGATCAAGAGCGGCTTGCATCTTGGGAGGGCAATAAATAGCATTGGCAGTTGTTCTTGCACTGGTCAGCGCAGCCCTGGCCTTGGCTAGATTACTCAATGCATGATAAGTCTTGGACTCCAGCAACTGCACTTCGACGAGCAGCTGTTTGTCGTCCAGCTTCTTCAGCTCTTTGAGGAGGGCTGAGCCCAGTTGAAGGGCTTCACTGAACATTCCAGTGTCGAAATAAAGGGCTATCAATCTAGTCTCCAGAGATTGTCGGAGAAATGTTCTACGCTCCTCTTTAGCCCATTCTATGCATTCTTTGCAGAGTTGCACCTGCATTGGAAAACAAAATAAATTCATTTCGCCCATAAATTTTTCAAAATTCCTCATTTTTTTATTTTTTTGTCAACGATTTTCTGTAAAATTGATGACGAATGGGAGATATTTGTATTAAAAAACATCACATCAGCATTTAAAAAAAACAAATCCATTTCGCCCATAAATTCTTAAAAATTCCTGATCTTTTATTTTTTTCGATCAATTTTTTTATTTGTAAAATTCATGACAAATGAGAGATATTTCTATTAAAAACCATCCCCACATCTCAAAAATAAGTTTTCAGTAACAACGTTCTACATTCTCTACAGCATTACACCTGCATTTAAAAAAAACATTACCCCCATAAATTGAAAAAAAATCATGATCTCTTTCATTTATTTAGTCAATCAGTTTCTGCAAAATTCATGCCGAAGTGGATTTATTTCTATTGGAAAACATCTATCAAAAACGAAGCCATTTCACCCATAAATTCTCAAAAATTCCTGCTCTTCAATTTTGTTGATCAATTTTTTTTGTAAAATTCATGACAAATGAGATATTTCAATTGAAAACCATCACAAAAATGTTCTACATTCTCTGCAGAAGTACACCTCCATAAAAAAAAATCCATTCCCCCCACAATTTTTCCCAAATCCACGATCTCTCATTTTTTCAATTACTTTCCCCAAAATTCAGGACCAATCCGCCCCAATCCCCCCAATTCCATCCTCACCCCTGCCCCCAAGTTCAATCCCCAAAAACCGAGAACATTGTGGTTATGTTATGCCTGAGCCCCAACTGCTGCGTCATGAAGCTCGACTGACGATCCCAGAGCGAGTAAAGCCCCAAAAGCCACTCACCTCGATGCCAATGCCAGCCTCGAGATCCAGGAAGAAGTCGACCAGAGACCGCACCAGCTTGGCAGCCTTGGCCTTGCTGATGTGACTCAAGAATGGCCTAGTGGCTTTGATAAGATCAGCGAGCTCCTTGGCCTTTCCCTCCTTCTTGTAGAGCTCTCCCAGCTGGAGAATGCCCTGCTCCTTGATGCGAATGCTCTCCTCGTCCTCCTCGTCGAGGCCAATGCTGGGATTCGAGACAATTTCATTGAGGAGAGTTATCCCTTCACTGCGATTGGTTATACACGCTGCCTGGGCACGCTCGAACAACATCGCACCAGCCATTTTACTACTCTTACTCCGGAGTTCTTCGAGGTATTGTAGCTCTTCAAACACTAGAACGATTCGTTTTTATTTTTTTAGAGGACTTCAGGGGCTTTTGGGGGTTTTTTAAAGTGTTGATAACCACTGATAGCCGGCGACTAGTCCTCCGTCGACGGGGCACTCTCGGGGGGTTGTGGGTGTCACTGGGGATTTTTGGGGCTCCTGGAGACCGAGGGATCACTGGGCTCGAGAGTCTTCAGGGGCGGTGGGAACACTGCGGGCTGAATGAATCGTCGCTATGCTCTTACCGTTTCAGGTCAACGCTTAGAGGCTTTCATCAATCAGTCACCATCGTCTAGGCTTCGACTGGGTATGAAAGCGTTCAGGCAAAACTCGTGTCATGGCGCTACGGGAGTCAAACGAGAGACTGGTGACATGTGTGGGGTGAAGTTGCTGCTGGAGACAACTTCGGGATGTGAGTTTTTGAATTTTCATGTTACACAAGTCGCATTTTTGCAATTGTAGGGGGGATTTGGATTATTATTGGGGTGGTTTTGTGCCTTCAAAAAAATAATTTTGTTGGGGCTTCTTATGTGGATTTTTTGCGGCGGTTTGGTGCGGGTCGTGAAATAAGAACTCGTGGTTGTGGAATAAAGAATCGGACTGAACATTTTGGTCGGGAATACGAGGGTTTATACCTTTTATTGTGCAAGCTTCGAGAATTGTTCAGAAATTTCGTGAGGAACAAGGATAGGATGATATTTGTCTCGATTATGACAATATAAAATATTCGAGACGCGTTAATCGAAATTCGACATAATAATTCGTTTGTGGCTCGCGCCACATTTTTTATCGTTCAAAAGCTCTAAAAAAATTGGTTTTTCAAATTTTATTACGCTACATTAATTTTTTAGTTTAGAATATAAGAAAGATGGAATTCCACTGATTTTTCCGATAAAATAAGGCGCAGTAAAGTTGCAAAATTCTATTTTAGAATTGACATGACTATTCGAATTTTTTATTGAATTCGATAAAGAATTCCATTGAACTTTCTATTAGTTTTTGGGCAACTCCAATGAAAAATCTATTGAAGATATAATAAAATAATTATTATTCCATTGGATTACACATTTTTTAAATAGAAATGTTCAATAGAAAATATTCTATAGAAAAATCAATGGAATGCAATTTTTCTATGTAACTGGTTTTATTGAGATATTTTCTACAGAAATGCCTGCCAAAAATATTCTTTCTCCCAAGTGTAATGCATCCAGTAATGCGATAACAATTCGTCAATTCGCAATCTTTCATATTTTATTGTACTCATATTTTACTATTTTTCATATTTTATCTTTTTTCCATTCTCATATAGCCGATTCGGCTTTTTATGGTCGATCCCATCATGGGCCGACCTCCTCCCTCGCCCCGTCGCATTGTACCTCAGGATCTGTACTCCATGAACAGACTTTCAGTTAAAAGCCTTTCATCTATTAAATGCAAGCCAATTAATTAAGAGTGCGTGTTTCAAAAGATTTTGGGACCAAATTCCTATTCTCAAAAGAACATGCACTTAAAGTCGATAACTATCGATATCTCGCTCGTCTCACGCTTAATCTCATTGGTTCCAGTCGTCTGAGGCGGCAAATTTAATTCACGATTAATTCAATTTCGAGATTTTCAGTTATGATTGTTACAATTACAGTGCGCTGTAGCGTGTGTCCGGTCTCGTAAATAATAAAAAGAAATATAAAAAGGAGTGACACCTCTGTGGCCTAGAACGAAGATAAAAGAATAACGAGAAAGAAAGAGACGATCGTACATGAAGGTGGTTGAGAGGGAGGAAAAGAACAAATACACAACAATATTATAAAATACAAATTCCCTTATTAGACTCCAAAGTACGATTCCACCCTCTCATTTATTTCTCTACACCAAAAAATATTACAATTCGTTAAATAATTAATCCAACCAGCTTCACTGATTCTGAAACCCCAAATGAGGACCTCATATCGGTATCGGCAGTTCCTTCGCTGCCATCACCAGGATCTGATCAATGCTCAAACACCAGTTCTTGATATTCTTCGAAGTTTTACACCAGTACTCCCCATGATGTGGCTCCGCAGCGATGCACCTCTTCTTGACCTCCTCCTGCTGCTCCTCACTGCCATTTAACAACTCAAACTTATAAAAATACGCCCACGAGTCCCCCAGATCCGGATCAATCTTGACAGTCCTGTTGAACCAGTCCCGACACTTGCTGATCTTGTGTTCACACCAGAACAGCTTCGACACAGCAAGAAGAACATGGGGATCATGCTCGCATTTCTTGAGGGCATCAACGCTCTTGGTCTTCCTCTGAGGCCTGGGCTCCATGAAGAGCGCCTCGGCCCACAGTAGCCCTGAGTTGGGGCACTCCTGGAGGCCCTTCGCCATGAGAGTGTGCGCCATATCCCGCACGCCCCCTGGCATCATCTCGTTCCTCACAGCCTCGAGCCACAGCTCCGGATTCTTGGGATTCCTCAGCCGCGCCTTCTCCAAGACAGACCTGGCCTTCGTAATATGGCCATTCCTCCTCTCAAGATCAGCCAGCAGCCTCCACAGAGGAATGGCAGTGGGGCACTTCTTGATCCCCTGATTGTAAGTCTCAAGAGCCCTGTCGAGATGCCCCTGCTGCTCCTCAATCTGCCCCTTCATCATCCAGAGCTTCTCGAACCCATCGAACGTCTTCAGGGCCTCCTTCAGCAGGCTGATCGCCCCATCGAGATTATCCAGCGCCCACTCGAGCTTCGCACTCTTCATCATGACCCTCGGTGTCGGCGCGGAGGCCCTCGCCTTGGCCAGCAGCCTCCTGGCCCTCTCGTACTCGGAGTTCTCGCTCTCGAGCTTGACAGCGGCCAGCCAGATCTCCTCGGAATTGGGATTCGCCTGGAAAGCGAGGGAGAGAATGCCCCTGGCAGCTGGCACGTCGTTCGCCAGCCACTTGGACTTGGCCCCCATCAGCCAGAGGACCTCGCTCTTCGGGCAGTGGGCGACAGCCCTCTGCAGCAGCGTCTCCAGAGACTCCCTCGTCCCGTACGTCTTCTCGAAGTAAGCTGCCCTCAGCCAAATGGACTTCTTACTCGGAAAAGTCGCCAACGCATAAGCGTAGACAGCCCTCGCGCACTCGAGTGCCCCCTGCTGCGCGCAGGTCTCGGCGTCCTCCATCCACGTGTGTTTCCTGTCCTCCTCCTCCACCCCAAACCCGATGATCGCCTTGACGATCACCTGGCACGTGTGGATGGCCCCCGCCTTCTCCGTCTCCATTGCGTCCTTGAACCAGTGCTCCCGGTTGATCTCCACCCCGTTGGCGCTCAGCGAGGAGATCGCCCTGTCAATTATCTTCTCCACCATGTGCTTGTTGCCATTCGCCTCCTCGAGCTTGGCAGCTGTCGTCCAGATCTGCCTGTCCGTCGGGATGTTCTCCCTCGCCTTGTTCAGCACCTTCCTCGCGTTGTCGTAGGTCTCCAGCCTCGCCAGCGCCAGCCACAGGTCCACGCTCGTGGGGCAGCACTCAACAGCTCTGCTCAGCAGGATCTTTGCGTCCTCGGGCTCCTCAAGCTCGACTGCCGCCTTCCAGAGCCTCACCGAGTTCGGGATGTGCTCCAGGGCTTTCCGGTAGACCCGGCGCTTCGCTTTCGTCTCCACCTCCAGGTCCGCCGCCTTTATCCAGATCCTCACGGACGTCGGGATGTGCCGCACCGACTGGGCGATCACCGCCTTGGCTGTGTCGGGGGGCTGCAGCCTCGCCGCCTCCAGCCACAGGTCCTCCGACGTCGGGTTCACCTCGCAGCCCTTCATTATCAGGTTCCTGGCAGCCTGCACCTTCCCCGTGACCTCTTCTAGGCGGGCTGAGGCTATCCAGGCCGGCGGGTGGTTGGGGTTCGTCTCCCTGACGGACTTGAGGAGAAGTCTGGCCTTCTTTATGTCGTTTATGTCCCCTCCGTACGTCGGGATCATGCTCTGGAGGTCCGTCAGGTAGCCCTTGGGATCGACCACTGTCTGGCCTTCCACGGAGTCAGAGACTTGGTTCAGCTTGACGTTCATCAGGGTGTTCCTCGCCTGGCCGATCTTTCGGAGGTCCAGGTCGCCGGTCGGCGTCAGCATCCCCGGGGTCGCCACCCCCGGCATCATCGAGGCCAGGCCGCTCGACGGGTCGATGCTCGAGGTCGACTCGCCCCCCAGGTTCCTCGCCAGCACGGAGTCCGGGAGAGGCGTGAACTTCTCGGCTCGAGGGTTTCGTTGTTTTCGGTTCCTCGCGTCCCCCACCTCTGGGACGTTCTTCCACTCGTCCTCGCTGACGTTCACCAGCTCGCGCTTCAGGTCCGAGAACTGCTGCTGGATCTTCGGGCGCTCCTGGCGGTAGCGCTCGAGCTCCTCTCGGAGACGCTTCTCGCGGTATTCTTTTCGCTTTTCGTCCATCCGCTTGTCGATCGCCTCGTAGATCGCGTCCGCCTCCTCGTCGTCCTTGTCGTAGGGGTCCTTGCTGAAGAGGGAGCCACCGTAGCCCGAGAACTCGTCGTAGTTGGAGTCGTTCAGGTCCTCTTCTTCCTCTTCTTCTTCGTCTTTCTTCTTGGCGCGCTTTGTAGGCGGCGCGTGACGGTCGTCCGAGACGTCGTTGGCGTCGCGCGCCGGACCGATGTCCGAGCGGGTGGTGAAACCTGTCGCTCTGGGGGCGAGAACAGCGGAGGTGAGGCCAGGAGCAACGAACAAAATTGTTTTCATCACGCTGTGACGAAAAGTGAACTTTTTGGCACGCGGAGCGTGCCTAAAAGTCCAATTTCCACCACATTGTGATGAAAAATATTGGTCGTAACTCGAAATATACTATTATGGCACGCCGTGCAATAAGTCGAGTTTATCGCAGCGCGCTTCCAACTCGACTTCTGCACGGTGTGGCATAATAGTACATTAGAGTACAAGGGAACAAATTTCGTTTTCAATGTGTAGTTTACAGGCCGAGCCAAAGGCGAGGTCTGTACACACATTCGTTGAAAACGAAATTTATTACCGAGATATAATATTTTATGTCAAGTCGTTTCGTTCGAATGTGTGTACAGACCTCGCCTTCGGCTCGGCCTGTAAACTACACATTCGTTGAAAACGAAATTTATTACCGAGTGCTATATAATATTTTATGTCAAGTCGTGCAGAAGTCGAGTTTTGAGCAAGCTATGCGAAGCGCAGCGTGCGATAAACTCGACTTATTGCACGGCGCGACATAAAATAGTATAGACCACTCAGGCATAAACTTCGTTTTCGACGAATGTGAAGTTTACAGGCCGAACCGAAGGCGAGGTCTGTACACACATTCGTTGAAAACGAAATTTATTACCGAGTGCTATATAATATTTTATGTCAAGTCGTTTCGTTCGAATGTGTGTACAGACCTCGCCTTCGGCTCGGCCTGTAAACTACACATTCGTTGAAAACGAAATTTATTACCGAGTGCTATATAATATTTTATGTCAAGTCGTGCAGAAGTCGAGTTTTGAGCAAGCTATGCGAAGCGCAGCGTGCGATAAACTCGACTTATTGCACGGCGCGACATAAAATAGTATAGACCACTCAGGCATAAACTTCGTTTTCGACGAATGTGAAGTTTACAGGCCGAACCGAAGGCGAGGTCTGTATTCACATTCGTTGAAAACGAAATTTGTGCCCTTGCACTCTAATGTACTATTTTTCTTAGCTCAGTGTTTTTTACAAAAATAATCAGGAGAGGGTAGCGTAAAATGGACACTTTTGACTTTTTTTGAAATATTCATGACGTTTTGAATTGTTCATGAAACGGAATAGTTTTATTTTTCAACTGAAAAACAATGACTCGTCTTTGTGATGAGCTTAGACTGAGCTCAATTGATAAATCTGTTTTTGAGTTATGAATATTTTTAAAAAAGTCGAAAGTGTCCATTTTACCCCACGCTCCCCTATTTTTGTTTTTTAGGACACATTTATTTACAACAGTGTGAGGAGAGATTTATCGAGGCCTGATTGAGCTGATTTTCATGAATTTCTCTATTTTTTCGTTTTTTAAATGTTATATTTTTCTAGAAGACTCTCTTCCTCATTTCCATTACAAACCAAAGAAAAATGACCCTTGGCCCAGTGTTTCCTCCAAAAATAATTATTTTTCTTCTTTGAGGAGCATTTGTTTACAATCAGTCCAAACGTGAGTGCAACGTCTCGAAGCTGCAAGCAGTGTCCCCCAGCTCTCTCAATTAAAACCCTCCTCTAATAAACCCTTTCGAACATTCCAAGACGAACAACAAGTAACTCACCCTCTCCCAACACCAGCCACATATCCCAGTGGTGCTGGCACCCCCAGAAAGTGTTTTTTATTCCTCGTCGACAGTGACGACGATGGCACAGCCATTTTTCAACCATCCACACTGATCATCCACAATTCCACACCCACACAATCGCATTAAATTCACTGCTCGACACCTAGTGGCTCAAACTCCAACTCCGTCCCCTCAATTCCCTGGAAAGTTCGCTCTCCCGATAACAAGTAGCTAATTCCCCCTCTTTGTCCCTCATTTCCTCCTAAAAATATTGATTAAAATCAGTTGAAGTGGCGATTCATCAATTTTTCGAGATAACACTCTCCGATTGCCCTCAATTAATGTTGAACTATTGTTCACTATTTTCCCCCACTATTATGACTTTTTTAACCGTTTTACCCCTTCCCCCTCCCCTGTTCGCCGTCACTTGCAACCGAATCTCCAAAACCCACCAATAGGAATGGGCGATATTGAAGGAAATATCGAAGTCGCAACTATCGATATAATTTGAAAATATCGGGTCGAAGATATCGATATTCTGAAAAAAATATCGTTGAACTGATATAACGATATATTTTTTATCTGAAATATTTACCAATGACAAGACGAGAAAACCAACTCGAATGATCATGATGATCGGGAGCCCATGGGGGGAGTGAGGGAGTCGATGGGTCGATTGAGAGAGGGGGAAGGTCCTATGAAATTTGGCGAGCGATTTTGCTCGTTTTATGTCGACATAAAATCGTAAATTTCAACCAATGACAGTCCTAGATGCGGAATACTCAACTAGGATTGGTTGAAATTTATGATTTTATGTCGACATAAAATCGTAAATTTCAACCAATGACAGTCCTAGATGCGGAATACTCAACTAGGATTGGTTGAAATTTATGATTTTATGTCGACATAAAACGAGCAAAATCGCTCCCTAGAAATAACTAAAATCATGCGCTATTAAAAACAATATTTCTCTTTTTTCGTGGTAACATTTCATTTATTCTCTTCCGAATTTCTGCAAAATTCGAAACAAATTTGGACTTCGATATTGACGTTAAAATATATCGAATAACGATATATTAGTCGTTAAAAATATCGGTATATCGATATAGAATATCGGACACTTCGATATATCGAGGGGTATCGACCATGTCTACCCACCGATACCCGCGAGAGAGCTCGTTGAGTATCAACCCTAGAGGTCGCGATAGTTTTTACAGTTATATTCCAATATTTTTTTAAGGTATTCAGGCTTTTTGTCAATCTTATGCATTAGTCGCGTGTGATTTGTGTTTCTCGTTCATCACTGGTGTCCGGTAATAGAGGTTCATTACGTCTTTATGACTGTTTAATTGGGTTTTTCGGTATTTTTGGTGATTACTTCAGCGTTTCACCGACAATAGGATTACACGCGACACCGCCTTTTCATTATTCATACGGAGCTGATAGTCGTATACGCCCTGATAGTTGGTTTATCGTTGTTTTTTCTTTATCGTAATTTTATTCCGGGTCTTTTCGGGGTTTGGGGTGGGCCGTTTGGGGAGTCTACGGTATTTTGGGGGTTTTCAGGTAATTGTGGTGGGAAATAGTGGAGGAGGAGAAAGGATTCAGGGATTGGTGAGGGAAATGTTGGGAATTATTTTGACAGGTGATAGGTAAATAATGAGTCACTGGGGGGATAAGGGCCTCAATGACTGGAGATGAGGCTTCAGAGGTAGAGGAGTATCTGGTGGTCACTGGTCTTATTAATTCAGAGTTCTAATTAATTCAAGTGATACTGGGGATGAGTCAGGCAAACGCTAAAGTCAGGTTTTGGGGAATATCTCTGGAAGTAAGGGAGGTAGCACATTTTTCGTAAGGACCTTTTTTGTAGCTCTGTTTTCGCTCTACAAAAAAGGTCATTACAAAAATTTTCGTATTTCTCGTGGATTCTGAGATATTTTGGAAAAACTGATCCGATGGAAAATTGAAAAATCCTGCAGGATTTCGTTCACAAAATGTAAAATAAACAGTAGATATTCATATTTTAATGCAATTTATTCAATTGGGATTTTTCCCGTAAGAATTCTAGGCCATGAATTTTATCAGTTCTTTTTTTTTGGAATTTACAGAGAACAATTCATTTAGAAAAATACAAAACTTTTTTTTTTTTAATAAATTCTCGTAGAGTTCCAATGCACATTCAACACATTATTATGAATTTTTCAATAAATTTCTCAAGTTCAAATAATAATAATTCTTTAATTTGCGAAGAAAAAATTCTCAAAAAATTCCCCTGGGTATTTTCATTAATTAAAATGATTTTTGGTTCTAATTGTCTTCAGATTTTCAAACAAAACATGGCCAAAAAGCCAGGGACAACTCAGGCTCTCCACAAAGTCATAATGGTTGGCAGTGGAGGCGTGGGAAAGTCAGCCTTAACACTTCAATTTATGTACGATGAGGTATGGGAATTAAGGACAATTAATCTAGATTAAAGTAGAATGCAGAATGTAAAAAGATAATGAAATTAATCTCGATTAAATTAAGTTCGTGGAGGACTACGAGCCGACGAAGGCCGATTCATACAGGAAGAAAGTTGTCCTTGACGGTGAGGAAGTACAAATTGATATACTGGATACTGCTGGACAAGAGGACTACGCTGCTATAAGGGATAATTACTTTCGAAGTGGAGAGGGCTTTCTCTGCGTTTTCTCCATCACCGAGGATGACAGTTTTCAAGCGACTCAAGAGTTTAGGTGATTTTTTAGAAATTCATTCAGACAAAACTTCCGATTATCCAAATGCTTTGCAGTTTTACTTCTGACGTCAATCTTTGTAATTGTTTAAAGTTATAATCTTCTTTTTTATCAAACTCCTTCAAAGAATAGACTTTCTAGATTTTTTTTGAGTTTTGCAAATGTTAACAATTGTTAACTGTTAACATTTCAAAGGATTAAAGAAAAAATTTTCAGATTTTTCAAATCATTTATTCAGAGTATAATGAGAAATTAACCATTTTTGCTTCTGAATGGAATTATTGTAATTGTTTAAATCCACAATTGCTTTATTTAGTTTTAAAAAGAAATGGACTTTCTGGATTTTTTTTTGAGATTTGGAGATTAACAATTCTTGACATCAAAAAAGGGCTTGAAAGAAATTTAGAAAGTCTCTGTTTCGAGGAAAATTTGTGAAATGGAAAACACTTTAAACAAATTCCATTTTCATTAAAATCTACAAAATTAGTAATATTTAATTACTTCATAAATCATCGAAATAGAGTTTTTCCAGATTTTTGAAACCATTTATTCAACAAATAATGACAAAAAAGATTTTACTAATCTGAAAAAAAAGGAATAATCCAATCATTTCCTGAAACCCCAAATAAAGATTTTCAAAAAGCCTCATTCAGTGATATTTATCCATATCTTCTGTTCATATAAATAAATATTCAAGTCAATTGATTGAGAATTACGTCATGAAAATAGTTGTCATGAGAACATTGAAGATTCCATCAATGAAAAAAAATAGAACACGATTTTCTCTTATTTTCTTACAAAAAAAACTAAAGTAGTCAACTCAACCCTTAACTCCCCCGAGAAAATCCATTAATTTTAATTACTAATAATCATTTAATAATTGAATAATTGTTAATCGCCTACTAATTTTTCTCTTGACACAGGGAACAAATTCTAAGAGTGAAAAACGATGAAAACATTCCCTTTTTATTAGTCGGTAACAAGAGTGATCTCCAGGAGAAGCGAAAAGTCAGTCTAGCAGAGGCTCAAGCCAGATCTCAACAGTGGGGTGTACCTTACGTCGAAACAAGTGCAAAGACTAAAGAGAATGTGGACAAGGTAAATAAAATCATCATTATCCACCTCTCAATTATTCAATCGTTATTGTACTCTGCTTAATTCACTGCAGCATCAGAACGCATTGTTCATCCTAGTGAACATTTTATTTTTGTTATTTTTGATGGCATCACTTTGCACTGTTTTTCCAGGTATTTTTCGATTTGATGCGCGAAATAAGATCGCGTAAGATTGAAGATAAATCCGCGAGTAACGGTCGTGGAAAAGATCGTGCTAAAAGGAAGAAAAAGAAGTGCATTGTTCTATAGGTTCGCTGCTTATATTTTTTTTCCATGCTTATTCTAATTATTTTTTTTGTTAGCATACGCTCGGTAGTTTCGAAGTGTTGAAACGTTATTTTTCAATTTTCAACATGAGTTTCTGTACACTCAAGATGAGAAAAAAATCAGAAAACATTTTTTTTTGAGCTGCAAAAAATGTTTTTGACATTTTTTGTTATTCAAAATCTATTTTTGTGAAATAAATTCATTGATTAAATTCTGTTAATCATGGAATAATCTCGAAAATGCGTTGTAGAGAAAATGAATTTTTTTATATTTTTTATATTCATTTATATTCATTAATTTAATTCTCTTATTTATGAAATAATTTCTAAAATGAATTATTTTAGACGAAAAAAATCATGAGAACTTGCTTTACATCTGAGACAATTCTGTCCAAGAAATGTTGTTTGATTTTTTCACTGAAAGCACATTAAAATAATTTGATATTTATCATAATGTGAAAAATCTAGTTGTTCTGTTCTGCTACATTACGTTTTACCACTTCACTGCTCAATTTTCTACTCTCCATCATCACATCATGTGTAAAATGAAGCTTTACTCATGCTTCTCCGTGTAAATAATGATTTTACATGTGGTGTAATGAAAAATCTCGTTAGACCCTAGTTGAAAGATCAGCGCATATGAAAAAATTTTGTTGAAATTCGCTCATTGTTTCATCCCTTTCACTTTATTCATTAAATATAAAAATTCATGTGCATAAATTTCCAATTTTTCCCTCAATATTTTTCTGTTTTTCATAATATACTAAATTAAAAAAGAATGACTTCATGCCAAGAAATTATTATTGGAAAAATCGCCAGACGATACAAAAAACGATTATACAAAAAACATCGTCATCTATTATTTTTTTCCTAGTTATATTAGAATCTCTGATGGAAAATTTTCATTGTGTTTTTACCTTTCAACGAGGAAATAAAACTCACGTATCAAAGAGACTAAAAACCCTAATCCAAATGAAAATCTGCTATTGAAATAATTCATAACAACAATTATTTTTCAGGTATTCTTTGATTTAATTCGATCAATCGCAACGCGCAAAGCGCGAGAGAATCAAATTGAGGGAGCCGAACGTAAGAATAACAAACGTTGTTGCATTCTCCTCTAACAACACCCGGAATAAGCTTTTATTATCGTTTCAGACAAAGTACGTTAAATATAATTACATATACATACATATAAATATATATTTTTTTCATATTATTTAAAGAAAAAAAAGAACATTGACGAAACATCCTCATCCTATTCAATTATGTATGTATGCGACATGAATGAATGTGAAAGAATGAGTGAATGTGTCCACTCGAATGTGCTTGTAAACAGGTATTTGCAATAATTTACAGTGAGAGTTGATCCTCATCTCCAAACATACGCGAGGGACCTATCGAAAGATTCAAGATTTGATATTCAAAATTCAATCGTTTAACGATGTACTTCATTATTTTTTTGTAACATTTGCTATTGAAGACTTCACGTGCGGTGGATTAATTGAATTACGTTCGAAAAAATTTATCGAAAAACCTAGAGAATTCTGTAGGATTTCTGTTGAACTTTCTGTTAGTTTTTGGAGGATTCTACAAAGAAATCCCTTTTTTTCTAGTGTTTCTTCAATAGAAATGTTCAATGGAAAATATTCCACAAACAAAATTAATACAATTAAGTTTTCCTTCGGCTCAATTTTTGTCAATTTTTTGTTTACGATTTTTAAAAAGGAAAAGAAAAATATAGTGAAAATAACTAGAAAATTCGAAAAAAAATTAAAAAATGCGCTGTGAAGAAAAACTACTAGAATTTTCAGTGGAAATTCGACAGAATTTTCTATCAATTTCGCCAGGTTTTTTTGTAAATATTTTTCGCGCGTGATCTGTGGAGAAGTGAGAGAACAAAATGAATACAAAGCAGTCGACATTTATGTACCTATTATCACCAAGCGTTATCCGTAAATTTGCCTTTTCGTGTAATCGAAGGAAACACTTCGCAAATACTCACTTTTTCGTTGTAAAGCTTGTGAACCTAGCTAACTTCTCATTTTTGTATATATTTTGTATGTCTTTAATACACAGTTAAATAAATAAATGGTCACAACAAGAGAATTTTTATTCGAGATGAAATGATTATTTTTGTGCAACTGTCTCACCTTTTTATGAATTACCTACGAAGGAATTCAGAGGAACAAACAGAAAAATTGGAGAATATGAAACATATTATAATTGTGAATATGAACAAGACATGTCAACATTCAATTCAATTTATTTTTACAGAAAGTCAACTGATGATTTTATACACGGGAAAAATTCCTTGGAATCCACTGGATCTCAGAACAATTATCATTCTTACATACATATTTACAAATTCACCAATTATATATGAACTAACATAACATTAAAAATATACAACTGGCTAAGGGAAAACAAAGACATGAAACTGATTGTTTTTTTCAATTCTATAGAACGTATTCTGATTTGTTCGATAGAAATTCCACTGCTTAAATATTTCCAGTTTTTTATTTCAATTTTTTAAATGAAAATTGATGGAATCTCCGGAAAAAAAGTTTTTTACAGAAATAGAAAAATTAATTTTTGTGTAATTTTCGTATTCAAAATGCAGAAACCGAAGAACAGCGAGAATTCTCCCTCTAATTCACTGTTCCCCTCCATCAGATTTTTCTATTGACTCTTTCTCTCCACAAAACTCATGAAAAAGCAGCAGAATTTCCCCTGAATCTCCTATTCGGAAACTGTTCAGGGGGAGGCGACCTGTCCAGAATCTCATGCCTGAGGGGAAACGCCTCCTTTGGAAGGGTCCAGTCACTCTCGTTATTCATGATGTTCTCGAGATAGTCCCCAGGATACTCCATGGATATATTCTGAGTCTCGAGTTCCCCTTCCCCAAAGTAGAAATTTTCGTATTGAAAATGCAAAAATCTAAGAAAAGGAAGAATTCCCCCTCTAATTCAGCGTTCCCCACCATCAGATTTTCCTATTGACTCGTTCCCTCCACAAAACTCATGAAAAAGCAGCAGAATTTCCCCCTGAATCTCCTACCCACCTCACCCCTAAGTATATTCACACAAATGCCCACAGCCAGTGGGACACTGTCTGTTCCCCCTGAACCACTCCCTCATATGCACGACATGACCCCCATGCGTGCACCCCTGGCACCAGGCGTAAACCCCCCTGACAACCTGATGGCAAATGGAGCACAATGCGTGCCTGGACGTGTGGCACCTGTCGCAGAGCCACGCAGCCCTCTGCAGAGGCTTCGTACAAGCAGTGCAGCAGGCATGAATAGTAGTGGACTGTTGATTCAACTGCGCCACCGAGGGTATCCAAGCCAGCTGGATGATCTGCGTGATGACATCATAAAGCTTGAACCTCCCCAGCATGTCGATGTACTCCAGCAGCCAGTGCTCCTGAATGGCAACCTCGATATTAAGCTCCCTGCGCCGCTCCCCAAGAGCAATAAGAACCGAAGCAGCTGTCTGCACGTCCCTCACCGCAGCATGATGCCTCAGCGCCTCGTCCACGAGCCTAGCTGGATTCCAGAACATGGGTTTGGGAACAGCAGTGACAATGAGCTGGCAGGGTTGATCCTCGACAGTAACCGAGCCAGAGTCATCATTAATCTCAGGAGAATTATTCGGAAACTGTTCAGGGGGAGGCGACCTGTCCTGAATCTCATGCCTGAGGGGAAACGCCTCCTTGGGAAGGGTCCAGTCACTCTCGTTATTCATGATGTTCTCGAGATAGTCTCCAGGATACTCCATGGACATATTCTCAGCCTCGAGTTCCCCTTCCCCAAAGTAGAAGTCCCCCCTGGGTCTCTTCCTCCCATTCACCAGCTTCCTGTAATCCGGAATGGCCCCGATGGCCCCGCCATGCAAGTAATTATGATTCTCCGGGGTGTCGTCGGTCTCAGTCTCGTCGTCCCCCCCGCTGATCCCCCCGAAGCCGTCCCGAGGGTCCCCCTGCAGAGACCTCACATCGTTCTCGTGAATGTGCGACTGCCCCCCCTGCGAGACATCAATCCCAGAGGACAACGTCAACTGCGTGAGGTTCAAGGCGTTCGTCGTCAGTCCATCGTCCTTCGTGACTGGGGTATTCTTCAGGATGTTTCCATTCTGATTCGCGTAAAGTGTCTTGACAATTCTCCAGACACTGCTGATGTCGCTCCTCCCGCATTCAGTCGCCACCAGTGCGTTGTGCTCGCAGACGTCGTTCAGCTTGCCATGGAGAATGTAGCCCTCGGCGCAGTGCTTGAAGCACTTGGGCTCGTGCTCCCTGGACTCGCAGGCGTTGGGGAACCTCGTGAACCTGTGCATCACGCTGGAGGCCATGCAGAAGGTGTCGCTGCTGGCCGGGGCCTTCCTCATCATGCTGGAGAGCTTGGCAGTGGCTGGGGGACTGGCGCTGACCTTGCAGGCGTAGGCCACGTCCCCGCGGACGTTGAGGGCTATCCCCTGGGGGTTCGCCCTGCTGGCCGGCCTCGTCGCGTCCCTGAAGACGTGGTGGTACAGCGTGCAGTCTCGACTCGTCGACAGGAAGGACTGGGGGTCCCCTCGCCAGGCCACTCCTGTGGGCACGTCCTTGTGCTCGTTGAAGCTCGCGAAGGGAATGTAGGGACGTCTTATGTCCCAGATGTTGATGCTGCAGTCCACCACCAGCGCACAGCTGGCGATGTGGTACTTCCTCTGGGGCCGCCAGCGGATTCTACCCACTGAGGCTATCGTGTTTATCGTGTAGTCGCAGGTTGGCTTCACCGACAGGTCCCAGACCTTTATTGTCTTGTCGCGGGAGGCTGTCGCCAGCCAGGTGGACTCCGGGTGCCAGTCGCACGCGAAGATCGGCCCACTGTGCGCTGTGAAGTGCTGGAAGTAGCGGTCCGAGCGGCGCAGGTCCCACTGCTGCACGTGACCGTTCTCCGAGACTGCGGCGAAGGTGTGCGCCTGGTGAGGGGAGAACTGCACGTCCCGGACTGACTCGGTGTTGCTGTAGAAGGTCTTCGTGGCCTCCTTCGTCCGCAGGTCGAAGTACTTCATCGTGCCGTCCTGCGAGCCCGAGATCAGGCATGTCGGCTCCGTCATGTGGAAGCTCACCTTGTTCACGGTGCGCTTGTGGTCCGCGAACACGTGGTCCTGCTTCGAGCGCGATGTCTTGTTCAGGTTCCAGACCACCACTGCGCCGTTGGTTGCGGCTGTCGCCAGGACGTGGTCTGCGGGAGGAGTTGGGTTAGTTGGGGTGACGAAGAGGGAGTTGCACGAATCTACCGATTTTTTCGTGATATTCGTGGAAGAGGTGAGGGGAACCTTGTTTTCGGTGGGTTTTTCAGTACACTGGGATTTTTTTGGGGGATAACTCCTGGGGGTTTATTTGGAATTGTGTGTTGAGGCAGTGGACGAATCTACCGATTTTCTGGGATTATTCGTGGAGGAGGTGAAGGGAATCTTGTTTTCCTAACTCCTGGGGGTTTATTTGGAATTGTCTGTTGAGGCAGTGGACGAATCTACCGATTTTCTGGTAATATTCGTGGAAGAGATGAAGGGAATCTTGTTTTCAGGTCCGAGTGTACTATTTTTCGAATGTTATCTCGATTTTTTTTATCTTTCGTAATCCAAAATTGTCAATTGAGTGGTACATCTTGTAGAAATTTCCAAAAATGATGATAGAATGATAAAAAAAAAATAGAAACAATTCTGAACTTTTTCAAAGAGCGTTTTTAATTAAGATTCAGAATGAATTGAAAAAAGTTTATTAGCTGTCATTTTCCATGGTGGATAACAAAATTCAAGTTATTTGAATACTACTTTAAAGTAAAATGAATAAACTCCAGTAGAGTGGTTGAGCGTAACGCAGAAAAATAAATTCAAAATGACAAAAAAAAATTAACCATCATTGATAATTTTTTCTATGAATTCTAACTTTCATGAGTGTAAAAAATTGACCCATCAAATTCTTTCTTCAATTTTTTTTAGACAATAGTCTCTCATTTGACTAGAGTATTTCGATACAACACAATATTTGGGGCACGCAAAAATATAAATTATCTATTACAAAAGTTTGACACTGACGATAATTTTCATATTGGACATTTTCATTAATTTTTTCTCATTTTTGAGATTTTTTGCTAAATTTTAATCTTTACCCTGATCTCGAAAAATTCATTTTCTCGTACGATTGCGTTGTTTGCCCTTCTAGATTACTTGTTATCAATAACATTAAACCCCCGATTAAGCACGAACTCAACCAGAAAATTGATATTCATATTAACTCTCATTTAGAATTTATTTCAGATTTTAACCTTTCAAATGCGAGTTAAATTTACGACAAAAATCACTAAGAATCTTCAACGTTGTCCAAAAATCGAATGAAACTTTCTCTCAACATGCAAAAAAAGCCCCTACCCATGGTTTAAAATACAAAATTATATAAAATACCATCAGTGAGATTCCAGGCCACATCATTGCACGAAAAATTAAGATTCAGGTTCTTCCCAACTCTCAGATTGTGCGCCTCCTCGAACTTGTCCTCTTGCAGAGTAAATATTTTGAAGACTGGAGAACAAAAAACCGACAACAACAATCGAATCATCAACATCATCAAGACGCAATCTCACCATTTCTCCCAGCAATGACAACCTGCGAGTTATCCTTGTTGAGTGCCAGTGCATTAGCTGGACTCTCCTGCGTTATAAATACTGTTTTCGCCGTCATTTTCTCGGCAGCTTTAATCGTCCTCTTTCTCTGATGATCCTCTCAGCAAATCTCATGTTTCACACGACTCGCAGTGATCACCGGACGCCCGGAGCCTCATGATTCCCATTTGTTCATGTTTACATTGTCAAAAGAACAATACACAAACAATATTCTGAGGTTGGTGGGCACTCTACGAAGCAATGGCGTCTCGACTCTGAACAGCTGATGAGCCCAACCGCCAATTTACACTCGCATTGCCACAGAACAATTTAACGAACGTCCCCAGACAATTTCCGAAAGACAATAACTCATCGTTAAGCAAATTAATTGGGTAACATGGCTGATATCATGAGAAGTCCGAGGTTTCTTCTGAAAATGAAAACCAGAGATGCTGTTAATAAAATCAAGTCTGGGAGTCCAAAGTTCCAAGAGGTGCTGAGACAGGTTAGACGGACTCATTGTTTATTAAAAATAATCTGAGAATTTGTTGAAATTTACGTGACAAAAATTTGTTCAAGAATTTCATCAAAACTTTATTTTATTTTTAGTTTTTAATTTTGTGTTTTTGTTTTTTACTCATTTTTGTTGTAAACATAAATTGAATATCATTTTTTGGGGTTTTAGAACTTATTTTTTCTCGTTATACTCAACCACTCAACAAGAATTTATTTGTACAGCTTTAGAGAACAAATTAGTAGCGGATTGATAAAACAGTACAAGTCAATTTTGACTATTGACCAGTTTTCAACGAATATCTCGAAATCTAAGGGAGATGGCAAAATTTTTGTTATAACCTTTTTTGTAGAGCCGATTGAGAGCTACAATAAATGTAATTACGAAAATTTCGCCATCTCCCTTAGATTCGGAAATATTACTCAAAAACTCAACTTGGAGATGAGTCGAATTCAAGAAAAACTATTTTCACTTGTTTAGAGATGTCGTGACAGAATGCGAGAGAAACGTCGCGAGCTCTTCAACACAAGACGAGCTGTGGTGCCTCTTGGCGATGATGCTGAGGGGATCCAAAACACTCTGACTGAGATCGTGCGCCAGGAGTTCAGTGATTTGACGACTATGAGTGTCGATCAGGATCCCAGGGTCTCCAGTGTCTTCAGCGAACCGCTCAGTGAGGAGGAGATTTTTCAACTCGAGGCTGAAATTTTGGCTGACGAAGGTATAACGAACAATTTAATTCATTCAAAAAACAATAAAAGTGTTTTTTTAATGAATTATCGATTAAATTCCTATTAAACTTCTATTGAGATATTATATAGACACCTCTAGGAAATATTTAAATACAATAAGTTCAATATAAAAATCGAATTCTGTTAATTTTTTTTAAATACAAAAATTGTAAAAATGCAAAATTTTTCAATAGAATAGCGATTTTCCTCTTTAATCGTTAAATTACTTAATTGAAAATGAATTCACTCAACATTTTTGGACATTGGCAATTCATAATGCTTCTCATTCCAGAGGAATGGATTTTGAAAGAATACGAAAAACTGCTGGAGGAGGACGACAACTTGTTGAACATTTACGTGGAGGAGAGCCTCAAAGACACTGTCGTCTGTCCAATTTGCGAGAAATCAGGGCTGAATGAAACCCCCGGGGGGCTGATCTGTCCTGCTTGCAACATGTGCCTGCCACCTAAATGCAGCCTGTCCCAGTTAGCAAGTGCCATTCAGAGCCAGCTTGACGCTCACTCAGCTGTCTGCTTCGGTCAAACTTCATTCATGACTCTTCCAGAGAATAACTCTCTCTCGCTGTACATCACATGTGAGGTCTGTCAATGCTTCTCCCTGATTTTGTAACAATGGGAGACGACAAATGATGAATTTTGTATACTTTGTTATTTTTTAAAACGTGACAAACATTTCTGTATTATCGAATTATGCTCAATTGTATTAGGAAATAATCGGAATTACTCCTGAGCGGCGGGTGATTCCATCATGTGATTTATGGACAAAGAGTGAGTGTTCAATCGACTTAGTAATTTTTGTTAATATGTAGCACTAGATTTTACGAATTTCAATAAATGATTTCTATTTCGGTACGTGCGCATTTTATTAATATTGATTAATGATTTAGAGGAATGATGAGGGATTTTATTTTTCGATTTGATCCCTTCGTTTATTTTAATTGTTCATCAGTTGTTATAAAATATACTTGTACACCCTTAAACAATTTATTAAATTCAAACAAAATGTTTACTAAAATCGAATAATTATCATTTCATCAAGAAAATTGATGCATTCAAATCTCCCGCATTCACGTGACATTATCATCAGAGGATAAAAACCTCTGCCACCAATAGATGTCACAGCCCAAAGTCAAAATCGCCATCTTGCTTCTTCTCAACTTCCTCTATTTGTGAAAGGCTCGAGCGGTACGTGATTTCGTCGATTTTCCCGATTAAAAATCCGTGGATATTCTCCCAACGAAACCCCATCCGCAATTGTCATCCCCCAAATTGCAATTCCCATCCCCCAATACAGTTTATTCACGCAATATTTTTCTCCAAAATATTTTCCACTATTTTAATATGTTTATTGGCATTTCGAGGTTAACTCGTGTCATCAGAGCGAACGCCTGTTGTTGTGACACTGTCGAAATGAAGAAATATGGGTTCAGGAGGAGAATAACGTTAATTGGGATAATTAAAACAACTTCAACTTGAAAGGTATTCACAATTAATTATTATTGTTCCATAGGTCTGAGCCATGGGTCGAGTAATTCGTGCTCAACGTAAGGGAGCTGGATCAGTCTTCCGTTCCCACACCAAAAGGAGGAAGGGAGCACCAAAATTGCGGTCCCTCGATTTCTCGGAGAGGCATGGATACATCAAGGGTGTCGTCAAGGTAAACAGAACATTCAAGCAATTAACAATTAAAAATATTGAAAGTGTAATGATGATTTCTAAAATACCTACCCTCTGAAGACACGTGAAGATTACTTTAGAGGCTCTTTCTGAAGACAAAAGTATTTTTATTCATTTTGTGGATCCATCGATGGCACAGCAATTGAATTATTTTATTTTGTTTATAGGACATCATCCATGACCCCGGTCGTGGCGCACCACTCGCAGTAGTACATTTCCGGGACCCTTACAAGTTCAAGACCCGTAAAGAACTTTTCATTGCACCTGAGGGCATGTACACAGGACAGTTTTTGTACTGTGGAAAGAAAGGTAGGTATCATTGATTAAGAATTATTTTTTAGGTTTTATTTAAGGAGATTAATTCAGTAACAAATGTTTTTCATGAGGATTTTTTAAGTGGAAGATTGAATGGACTAAAAACATTTTTTGTTTTATGGAGCCATCGTTAAGCACGATTTTTCAATTCTGATCAAAAATATTAAATTATCTGAGACTTTTAGGAAATTTCTAAGGCAACAGAAGATTTTTTGTTATATTATTGTTGCGTATTTGCCCTTGTCCTCCCTCTCAACCATCGTCATGTACGATTGTCTCTTTCTTTCTCGTTATTCTTTTATCTTCGTTCCTAGTCCGCAACGTGTCACTCCTTTTGAAATTTATTATTATTTATTTCGCCTCAAAATCTTTTAATAAGCACTCATTCTCAATTAAATGGCTTGTATTTAACAATATTATAAAAATTTATTGACATTTCAAGGACTTTCGTCATTAGAAATAGAAAATGTCATGATAAAATCGATAGAAACTGTAAAATTTAGTTTAATTATCTGACAAAAATTAATAGAAAATTAGAAAAATTCATGGTTTGATTAAGATTAAAGAATTCTCGTCATTCTGCTGCACAAAAACCTAACATTTTATTGAATTTTTTCAATAAAATCTCCAATTAAGAAAACAATTTTGTCGTCTCCAGCCACTCTCCAAATTGGGAATGTAATGCCCGTTGGCACCATGCCTGAGGGTACAATTGTCTGCAATTTGGAGGAGAAAACTGGTGACAGGGGTCGTCTGGCTCGTGCCTCCGGCAACTACGCCACCGTCATTGCCCACAATCCCGATAGCAAGAAGACCAGGGTGAAGTTGCCCTCCGGCGCTAAGAAAGTTATTCCATCGAATAACAGAGCCATGGTCGGTATTGTTGCTGGTGGTGGTCGTATTGACAAGCCCATCCTCAAGGCTGGACGTGCCTACCACAAATACAAGGCCAAGAGGAACTGCTGGCCCAAGGTCATTATTCATTATTTTATTATTTTCTCGCGATCGTTTCATTAATTTTTTAATTGAATACAAACGTTATGGAACGAGTTTTTTTTTTGAGGAAAAATCATTTTCCTCATCAGAGACATTTAAAACATTTTTTTTAGTTACAAAGAAAATTGTCACAAAAACCGTTCAATTTTTGTTTAATTCACCATTTTTGATGATTGTTCATTTATTTTCACATATTTTATTGAAAAAAATGACGAAAAATTTCAAAATACATTGAAAATGATCAAAAATGTTAAATTCACGTTATTCTTTTAAAAATATCCAGAGAATGTTTTAAAATCGAATTTTATTTTTCTCAATTAAATTTTTTCATGAAATTTTTTATCAATAATCTATCTATTAACTCACTGACATCGTAAAATAATTGTTTTGTACTAATTAGTTTTTGTCAATTAATTTTTGTATTAAATGATGGTATGACATTTGAAATCCGCATTTCCATGGGGACAACACTTACGACTGATGATTACTTCAGTCATAAATTAATTTACGGTTGTATTTGGGATTTTTCTGAACTGATAATTTTGTTGCCAGGTTCGTGGTGTTGCTATGAACCCCGTTGAACATCCCCACGGTGGTGGTAATCACCAGCACATTGGTAAGGCGTCCACTGTCAAGCGTGGCACGAGCGCTGGTCGTAAAATTGGTCTCATTGCTGCTCGTCGTACCGGAAGAATTCGTGGAGGAAAGACAGACAGCAAGAAGGAAGATTAGACTGCACATTAATTGTTTATACTGTGTGCTCTATTATGTAATAAAATCATACAAAAACAAAATGCACAACATTATTATTGACGTGGATACGTCTATGGTTTCAATAATGGGGGGTCATTTTGGGAAACGGTCCTTATGTGCAGCGCCATCTATCGGAATTTCGAGATAATTTGAGAAGTTTTTTGAAATTTCCAAAAAAAATTCAAGGAGTTTCTAGAAAATTCGAGTGAATGCAAGGAGTTTCTAGGAACGTATAATTACAGCTGTATTGAAGATACAGTCACCTGCAATTTTTTTATTTCAGTATGTATACCCTCTCGGATTTTTACATTTTGTGCCCTTCCCAGTTCCCCTTGAGATATCAATATACATTGTACATTGCATAAAGTTCAAAAAGTTCATAACAAAAACATGAACACAGCCATCATCCTAAATTTAATCTTAACAGTTTACATATGAAATGCACAAAATTTCTTTCATTTCATTTTGGTACTGGGGGACTTCAGGGGAAAATTGCATAGTCAAGTGAAAATGTCCTATAAAAAATTGAATAGAATATTTTCAATAGAATTCTATTTTTCTATAGGACATTTTTTTTATTTAATTTTTTAGAAAAATTCTATAGAATTCCATTTTTTTATAGATCTTATTCTACTGCGATATTTTCTATAGAATTTCCTCAACTCAAACTTTCCAATTTTTTTTCATTCTATTTTCCTCCTCTTCTCATTAAAAAAATCAAACAAAAAAAAACTTGGAAAAGTTGAGCCGAGAAAATTCTACAGAAATATCTCCATAGAATAAGTTCCGTAAAAAATGGAATTCTACAGAATATTTTCTACTGAGCATTTCAATAGAATCTCCCAATACTATATTTCGTCATTAGGCCGAAATAATATTTTATGCCTCAAGTACCGAGAACCGCCTTCTAACTGAACAAAATGAAATTAAAATTCGCAGTTTATCTGTCCTCGGGCCATAATATCCTATTTTTTATGATATTTATCTTTCCAATACTGCGTCTTCGTCATGCCGAATAAAATAAAACATTCTAGCAACCGAAAGTTGCAAGCTTTTCGAAGTAATGTAAAAAATGTAAAAAATCCGTAGAGGTAATTTACGTAAATTACGTCGGTAAGACACGGTGTAATTTACCAACGTAATTTCACGCCCAACCCTGCATGACGTGCATTCAATTCCCCCACGATTCTCCACGTGCTCTAGTGTCTTCCTCCACCAAACTAAAACTGCTGAAAACCCAAAAAACCGAAAAAACCAAACGTTGCGGAGCGCGCGCGTCCTCTCACTCGTCCGCGAGAGGCGCTGGCCTCCTGCACATGCACGTCCCGTCCCACCAACACATCCTCACCCCCGTGTATTCCCTCGCAAGCGTATTCCGATCGCCTCGCGGTTCCTTTGTGTCAGCACTGGCGGCGAGCTTGCCGAAGGGTGAGGAAGTGAGTGTGTGTTACAAGTGAAACAAAAAAAATACTCTAAACCGCACCAGCAACTTGATTTTTCGTGCATCCCAAAACTTTGTTCCCCACAATCAACAGACATTTCAAACAAACGAATTGAACTCACGTTTAGCCCGACAAAAGAGCTACGATAGTTCGGAAAAAAGTTATAAATCTACGCACCGAGGCGGAGTAATATGAGTAATGCAGCCAACCAAAATGGATCAGGTCTAGAGCAGCAGGTATGCATCATCATCAGGGATAATGAGTCACAATGAGTCGCTGGTTGTCGGGATTTTTGGGGGGAATAAAATTGCTTCCAACGCCAATTGCTAACGGTCACACAATCATCCGCCATTCCTGGGCTGCTCGGATCCGTGGGACAGCACGCTGCCCCTTCATCCAATCATTTTCACCATTTTCCTCGGCCCCGAACCCCCGGGGCAATCATCACCACTAATTGCGGGGGCATCGGGGGTTTTTCGGTCGTAGCAGTCGGTTTTATCGATGAAAAACCCGAACATTCGAGGGAATTGCCTCTCAGTCAAAATTTCCGTGACGTCCATTCCTCTAACTTAAAATGGCGGCGATCAATTCGTAGAAAAGGAGAACACGCTACATGTATATTATCATTGGGAAACACTCGATTTTTCTCGGGGGATTTTTCCATCGATTTTTTTCACTGTTTTTTCATTTTTGGACTTTGGTTTTTGGAGGGGGCTTGTGGTTTTTTTGGGGCTGGGAGTGTTGTCACGGTTTTTGGGGGGGATTTTTTGGGGTTGGGGGACCTCGGGCTAGGGCTATTGTTGTAGTTATTGGTGGAGTGGAGCTTGGAGAGGAATTAATGTGGGTTTTTTTTTACAGTTAGCTGGTCTGGACTTGCAGGGCTCCCGCCAACCGAGTGGGGCTCGCTATATACCACCGCATTTACGCAATAAGCCCAGTAAGTATAATGAGGGGGATGGGTTAGGGGGAGGAGAGGGGCATTGAAAGAGTGAATTTTTTGGGGCGAGGGGAGGTGGAGTTGTTTAAAATTGTGTTGAACCAGGTTTGGGTTTTTTAAAATATTTTTTTGGCCATTCGTATTGCAAAAGAGAGATTTTTTTGGGAGAATGTGGGGAGAGATATTCTTCGGAGCTGGTAAATTTAGGGGAAAAGTCTCTTGACGTCCAATTTTTTTGTTAATTTGTTATTTTCATGAAGGAAAGGGTATTGGAGGATTCGGTGGTGATTGTTAATTTGTCTTGTCAACGAGTGACAGGGAGAAATGTCTCTTGAGATTTTCTCGTGAAATCACTCATTGTGGAGACGATTGAACATTTAGGGAGACGTGAGAAATGGAGTAGGTCTGTTACGTGCCATCAGGTCACTCCTGAATTATCGGAAAGTTCAATAATTGAGGGATGAATGAGACGAGATTGGATGTGACACACTGAACTCGAAGCACTAGACGTTTATTTGTTGACAAGTTGATGAAATAAATGGACAGCGCACTGATGTTGAATAGAGAGTGATTAGATCAACAGCAGGATTCAATGTTCATACGAAAGATTTGGGATTTTTCACTATCGAGTATTTCAAATCATTCAGTATTAACGTTGATTGATGCATAGTATTGCGAAATACTGACATAAATAGTGATGATTGCTGCAAAGGCGTTTTATCCGTCAATTGAAATATCAGTAGAGAAGTGGTGAAACGTAACAAGTCGATTTCTATATTTTTGGTAATTGTGCAGTTATCTCGAGAACGAGTGGTTTTAAGAGAAAATGTCGAAAGCCCTTTTCTGGGGATCGAGAAGTTTCCGACAAAAAATGCCTTTTGACTTTTCCTCGTAGAGCCATTGGTTACCGAAACAATCGCATATTCAACGAGGTGTGGAAAATCTAATTGTTCTGTTAGGTTTCACCACTTCAATGCTGATGTCACAGGCATCGATGCCTTTCCCAACTTATCATCACATCTATTTCTTAGTATAAAAAAATCATTCATTTCCAATTTTTTTCTAAAGAATACAAACGAATATATCAAGATGAGAATCACAATTGCAGTGACAGAAAGAGTTGCTATTGAAGAAATAAAAACAAATATTTACACTAAAAAAATTACCATTGAACTGGAAGTAAAGGGATCCCTCCGATATCCAACACGAATAAATCAACAGATGCTATTCAACATGAGCTGGCATCGACGCGCATTCAGTAATATTTCATAAAATGTATTTATCAATAATGATGATACTTTGCAACTAAAGAAAACAAGGCAAATTGATATTCGCAAAATACATAACTAAAATAATTGCACAACGACTGTGATATTAACCGATCTTGAGACATTCAATTTCCACGTGAAAGGATAGATAACAGATTAATGGATTTATCAAGTAAACGACCCAGACCACAAGCTATTAACTAATTCCATGAGAATCTCATTTAAATCTATCGCTTATATCGAATGTCGAGAACGTGATTTAGCTCGACATTGATTGTACTCGAGCTAACAAATGAATATTAAAGTCGTTATGATGAATACGGTAAACAGGGGAACGTGACTGTTGTCAGTTCTCCTTTTTTTCAGGGGACTGCATGTATAAAAGAATTCAATAAAAAATCCTGGGGCTTTTGTTGAAATTCCATTGTAAATTCATTAATTTTTTCTCATGTCTCCCACGAAAAAAGAATTCGTTGTTCTTTCGTTTTCTTCGTTTTATATACGAATAAACAACATTAATAACTTCTAGAGAAAATAAAAAAATACTGCGAATTAATTTCTAGAATTTCGAGAGGTTAATGATGATTTCACGTTACTTTTCCCTCATCAGCCCCTGAACTCTCCGACTTCTCCCCCAAGAATTCCCTGAAGAATTCACCCCAAAACCCCTCGAAATAACAAAAACCATTAATTCCAGGCAACGGGCCCACACCAGTGAGTGGTGACAACAGTGCCCCATTGGACTCGCGATCCTACTCCGATCGTGATCGTGGTGGGGGTCGTGACCTGGACAGCAACGATCGAAACGATCGCGACCGAGGCTCGTACAGAGACAGCCGCAACAATCGTGACGTTGATTTCGGCAATTTCGGTGGTAGAAACAGGCGTTCACAGGAGAACGGTCGCGACTACTCCCGCCGTGATTACGGCAATGACCGTTGGCCCGATCAGCCCCAGCCCCAGCGCAACGATCGCTGGCAGGACAACAGAAATGACAGCCGTGGAATGGGCGGTGGAGGGAGCAGATGGAAGGACGAATCCGATCGTGGTGGTTCACGAGGGGGCAGAGGAGAGGTTGATTGGACAATTCCCACAGCCAAGGACGAGCGCCTCGAGCTTGAGCTCTTTGGCAGTGGCAATACAGGCATTAATTTTAGCAAATACGAGGATATACCTGTCGAGGCAACTGGTGAAAACATCCCCTCACACATCACATCATTCGACGAAGTCAAGCTGACAGAAATAATAAAGAATAGCATAAGCTTGGCTGGTTACGATACACCAACACCAGTACAAAAATACGCAATACCAATAATAATAAGTCGTCGTGATGTTATGGCATGCGCTCAAACGGGCTCTGGTAAAACGGCTGCCTTTTTAGTGCCAATACTTAATCAGATTTACGAGAGTGGTCCACGTCAACCACCACCGTCGGCTGGCACTGGCAGACGCAAACAGTATCCCCTGGGTCTTGTACTGGCACCAACGAGGGAATTGGCAACTCAGATCTACGATGAGGCGAGAAAATTCGCTTATCGTTCGCGTATGCGTCCAGCTGTTGTCTACGGTGGCTCGAATATTGGCGATCAGATGCGCGAGCTCGATCGTGGCTGTCATCTGCTGGTGGCCACACCAGGCAGGCTGGTTGATATGCTGGGAAGGGGCAAGATTGGCCTTCACAACTGTCGGTTTCTGGTACTCGACGAGGCTGATCGCATGCTGGACATGGGCTTCGAGCCCCAAATCAGGCGTATTGTCGAGGAGGACACGATGCCACCCACTGGGGAGAGGCAGACACTCATGTTTTCAGCCACTTTTCCCAAGGAAATTCAGATGCTAGCTAGAGATTTCCTTAGTAATTATATTTTCTTGGCGGTGGGGAGGGTGGGCTCCACTTCTGAGAATATTACTCAGAAGATTGTGTGGGTCGAGGAGCATGAGAAACGATCCTACTTGCTGGATCTGCTCACTTCTAATAATTATGGTGATCCCAGTGAGGCGCTGACACTCGTCTTTGTGGAGACTAAGAAGGGGGCTGATATGCTCGAGGAGTTTCTCCATCAGATGGGTTATCCTGTCACCAGCATTCATGGGGACAGAACGCAGAGGGAGAGGGAGGATGCACTCAAGCGCTTTAGGGCTGGTAAAGCACCCATTCTCGTTGCCACAGCTGTTGCTGCCAGGGGCCTTGATATTCCTCATGTCAAGCATGTCATTAATTTTGATCTGCCTGGGGATGTTGAGGAGTATGTCCACAGGATTGGACGTACCGGGAGGATGGGGAACTTGGGGCTGGCAACCTCGTTCTTCAATAGTAAGAATCATAATTTGGTGAGGGATCTGGTCTCGTTGCTGGTGGAGGCCAATCAGGAGCTGCCTCCTTGGTTGGATAATATGTTCTCGGAGGCCAGGAACTCCGGGGGTGTTAGGAGACCTGGTGGGGGGACGAAGAGCAGTGGGGGGAGGTTCAGCAGCGGGTTTGGGGCCAGGGATTATCGACAGAATCCCAGCTCCGGCATGCCGAGGAGCAATGGACCCTCTGGACGTCCCGGTGGTTTTGGAGGTAATTAATTCATTTTAATTTTCAGTTATTTTTTGGGATTTTTTGAGGTTTAAAGAAATAAATTTAATTCTTTGATTTTTTATTTATGAATATTTATGGAAATTTATTTGAGGAAATTTGGAAATTCAATTGCGTGTGGAAAATTTGAAAAAATTGTGAAGATGCGGCGTCATTCAAATGACATTTTGCACAGAATTATTATATTTTAAAGCATTAATTGGTTATAAATTGTTTATAGGAATGCTCGTAATTTTCGAAAATTGCAATTTTTTAATCATTTTATTAATCTTCCTCGAAAAGTAAACTTTCTAATTTTCTAACGAGATTTAAATTCAGACCTGCAAAGTTTAGATAATAAAGTTATTTATTACAAGTGTTTGATACTGGCGATAATTTAACATTAGACATTAGAATTTTTATTCATTTCTTCGAATTTTTCGAGATTAAAAAAAAAATTATTTCACTGTTTTATTTTTTATCTAAATTCAGTTTTTTTAAATCAAATTTCACCTTTTTGCTATCGATTTATTCTCTCCAGGTATACCAAATACCCCATCAAACATTGAATTAATCCTAATATTTCATCAATTCACTTGAATTTCAAACTCAATTTTTTTTTAATGAAATTAAATATAAATAAAAAATTAAATTGTTTAATCTTTTCTTTTGTTTTTTCAACTAAAAATTCACGCTTTTTGCTATCGATTTATTTATTTGTTAAAATTTCATTGAAGATATTATCGTAAATCTCATGAGAATGGCATTGAATCGTATTTACGTAAAAAATGGCTATGAAATTACAATTTTTAAGTAGAATTCACGGAAACTCACGAGTTTTAAGTAGAATATAAATATTCAGAAATAAAATGGCATGAATTTTTAATTTTTCGCTGAATTTTCCTCATTTTTATGAATTTTCAGAGAATAATTGAACTGAAAATTCAAGTATTTCATTGATTTCCAGATAATTTGCATAGAAAATCAGTGGAATATTTACTTTTTCAATGAAAACATTTCCTGAAATTTCAGTGGAACGTGAACACGACAAAAATTTCGGGAATTCTAATCATTAAATTAATCAAAAATACTCTATTAATCCCCTTTCCTCTAATTCCAGGTGGTTATGGGGGAGGCTACGGTGGTAACTACAACTCATCATACAACTCCACCAACAATGGTGGTGGCGGTGGTCCCGACTGGTGGGGAAAGTAAATTAACTCTGACAGACAACCATTTTTCGTGGCTATCTCCTATTTCAATACCTTTATTACATTACTCTACATGCAAATTTAATTATATAAAAAAAAATATAGTACGAATGGTAAGAAGGCAGAAAAATAATAAATGCGGAAAAAAATTATAAAATCGATATAACGAAGTAACAACGTAACAAATTATGACGTAACGGGTGACAAGACAGATCATCGAGTGTTATGCTGTACAAACTGATGAAGAAAAAAATAATTATTTGAAAAATAGTGGCTCGTTGCCACTGGTAGATTCGGATTATCTCATGAAATATGAATATTCAATGACCAATTAAATTGCTATTACTTTTGTTGTTTGAAAAATCAATTTCATGAGTAGTGAAGTGCAACACAATACAAATTACAACTAGAGTAATCATTCATCCTTTCATTATTATAGATAAAAAAAAAGTAACACTGATCGTCACTGTCGATAAATGATAACGATCAACGTGTAGTAGATGAAAATTTAGTTCAATTTTCTAGGGACATACCTTGAGACTTCAAGACTCGTTGTGGCTCTATTATTCTTATTAATCAATTGTCATTATCACAATTTAATTAATTTATGATTCTGCAAGGTGTGCTAATTTTTTTGGTGATAATGATTCAGTTTTGTGGTATGATTCTCACTGAGCCTTTGTGGTTTTTCATTTCTCTTGTAAAGCACAGGATTTTTGCATTTAATGAGGAAAAAAAAAGAAATTTACGACGAACTTGGAAAATACACGTATGTCAATCATACCTCCACATGAAACGGGTATTTTTTTTCACCTTTACATGCTGATTTCCCAAATTTGTAGAACATCATCGAATGTTTTTTTTGTTTTCATGATCTTGATGAACGTGACTCGAGGAAGAGCTATTGAAGGACTCGGTGGTGATTGTCTATTTATTTTGTCAACGAGTGGCTAACGGGTAAATGTTTCTTGAGATTTTCTCGGGAAATCACTCATTGTGGAGATGATTGAACGTTTAGAGAGACGTGAGAAATCGAGTCGATGTGTTACGTGCCATCAGTTCACTCCTGAATTATCGGAAAATTCAATCATTGAGGAACGAATGAGACGAGATTGGATGTGACACGCTGAATTCGAAGCACTAGACGTTTATTTGTTGAGAAGTTGATGAAATAAATGGACAACGCACTGATGTTGAATAGAGAGCGATTAGATCAACAGCAGGATTCAATGTTCATACGAAAGATTTGGGATTTCTCACTATCGAATATTTCAAATCATTCAGTATTAACGTTGATTGATGAATAGTATTACGAAATACTGGTGAATACTAGGGATGGAACGAAAAGCAGACGAATGACTGACATAAATAGTGATGATTGTTGCAAAGGCATTTTACACGTCAATTGAAATATCAGTAGAGAAATGGTGAAACGTAACAAGTTAATTTCTATATTTTTGGTAACTGTGCATTTATCTCGAGAACGAGTGACTTTAAGAGAAAATGGCGAGAGCCCTTTTCTGTGGATCAAGAAGTTTCCGACAAAAAATGGCTTTTGACTTTTCCTCGTAGAGCCATTGGTTACCGAAACAATCGCATATTCAACGAGGTGTGAAAACTCGAATTGTTCTGTTAGGTTTCACCCCTTCAATGCTGATGTCACAGGCATCGATGCTTTTTCCAACTTATCACATCTATTTCTTAATATAAAAAAATCATTCATTTCCAATTTTTTTCTAAAGAATACAAACGAATATATCAAGATAGGAATCACGATTGCAGTGACAGAAAGAGTTGCTATTGAAGAAATAAAAACTGATATTTATAGTAAAAAAAATGACGATTGAACTGGAGGTAAAGGGATCCCTCCGATATCCAACACGAATAAATCAACAGATGCTATTCAACATGAGCTGGCATCGACGCGCATTCAGTAATATTTCATAAACTGTATTTATCAATACCGATGATACTTTGTAACTAAAGAAAACGAGGCAAAGTGATATTCGTAAAATACATAACTAAAATAATTGAACAACGACTGTGATATTAACCGATCTTGAGACATTCAATTTCCACGTGAAATGATAGATAACAGATTGATGGATTTATCAAGTGAACGACCCAGACCACAAGCGATTAACTAATTCCATGAGAATCTCATTTAAATCTATCGCTTATATTGAATGTCGAGGACGTGATTTAGCTCGACATTGATTGTACTCGAGCTAACAAATGAATATTGGAGTCGTTATGATGAATAATACGGTAACAGGGGAACGTGACTGTTGTCAGTTCTCTTTTTTTTCAGGGGACTGCATGTATGAAAGAATTCAATAAAAAATCCTGGGGCTTTTGTTGAAATTCCATTGGCAATTCATTAATTTTTGCTGATGTCTCCCATAAGAAAGTCCCACATGAAATATTCGATGGAAAAAAATTATGAAAAATCTCTTCAAGTCAACAGAATTTTTTTTCCGTTGAAGTTATTCTATGAAAATCCTATTCTCTAATTTTTTTTAATCAACTTAAACAGAATTTTTTCCATTCATTGAATATTTTTATTGCAAACAAATGGAATTGTCCAAGAGAATTTTTAAAGAAGCACTAGAATTTTCAATTGATTTTCCTCATGCTTCTGAACCCTCTATCACTGCAATGATCTTGTCAGGGGTCCCTGGGGCATTGTTTATACTTAATAATAGCGAAAAAATTAGATAGTTGAAATTAGCAAGAACGAAATGAAATGAACAACCTGGATTAAAATAAGTATGTGGCGTCACACGTTTTTAGAAATGACAATGTTACATTCTAACGACTTTATCGGGGTAGAAATTCGTGTGCATAGGATGTTGCTGTGTCTATCGAGGAAACCATACGTCAGATTATCGTCTAATCTGTGCGAAAAAGTACAAATTCGTTTTTCTTTCGTTTTCTTCGTTTTATATATGAATGAACGACATTAATAACTTCTAGAGGAAATAAAATATACTGTGAATTATTAATTTCTGAAATTTGGAGAGGTCGATGGTTCCATGTTACTTTACCCTGGAGAGAATCACAACTAATTATTCAATGAAATTAAAATTTGGGGGAAGATATCTACGAAAGAAAAATTATTCTGAATTTCAGTTGATCGATGCTATAATTTTACTACTAAATTATACTTTTTTATTTGAAAAATGGGAGTTGCGGTCGAGAATATTCAGTACATCCTGCCCAGTCGCTTCTAGATGAGGAATAAAACATGAGTGTAATTATTTTGTCACACATTCGATTTATCTATTAGTTCATTCATTCAATATGCCTCGATTCAATTAAATATCTTGCTGAATAAGAAACTGTATTGTCAAGAGGAAATTATGCTTTTGTTATTCATCCTATTACTGACCGATCCACAACGCTGTCCGATGTATTAACAAAATTCAGAAGAAATCGTAAATCAATAAATAAAAAAGTTGTGCACATCTTGACATTTAGATTCATTCTAGTTTCTTAAGCTAGATTTATTTTAATTTTTTTTAATTAATTTAAAGTGGAAATACAACTGCAAAATTAACAGGATTTATTAATGATTTAGAGAGTTTTAAGCAGTCGACGATAAATTATTATTTGCTTTAGTTCAAATGTATTTGTTGAATTAATTAATTTCTAGTGGAAGTAATTTCTAACGGGAGTAAAATAAAAAAAATCAGGGCAAATCGTAATCAATAAATAAAAAAGGTGGGCGCATCTTGAAATTTAGATTCGTTTTTATTAATTTAAAATACAAATTGTAACTTTGGGTCCAGCCCTCAACGGTGGAAACATAACTGAGAAATTAATAAATTTCAGTGATAATTTAGACATTTTTAACAGTCCACGATAAAATAATTCCTTCGGTTGAAATGTTTTGGTGAAATTGATGAATTTCTATGGAATTTGCTCATATTCGAAGGAGGAAATTGTTGAATTATTTCCATTTTTCCCTCTGATTTCTCAATTTCACAATAATTATAAATTAAAAAGCCATAATTAAAAATAAATCTTTTCCACTTCTCCCCTCTGATCCCTCAATTTCACAATAATTATTTAATTAATAATAAATAATGGTAAGAATGAGGAATTTTCATCAAGTTTTCCCATTTCTTAAAAAGAAAAGTGGTGATTCATGTCATCAAGTCCCACTTAGACATCAACGCACTGATTGTTTTTTCTCCGGAAGAAAAAAAATTTATCTCAACATGATTTCCTCCAAAATAAAATAGCTAATTTATGATTTAAATTACACTGAATTACTGTCCTCACCCCATAATCTACTCCCATTGATTCCCTAATAAAATTCCTGACGCAAGTAGTAAAAAGGAAACTATAGAGTCGAGTACCTCCTACAGGAAGTAGAGAAGACTCTCCAGATGCTGATTGGTTGGAGCAGTGTGGATGGACTGCGACACCAGGAAAGCGAGTTTGTGGGCGAATTGCACCGGTGCTGGTGCCCTCATGGTAGTGCTGCAGTTGTAATAGATGTGTGTCATCTTGTACGTCAGAATCTGTATCTTGTCCGGATCGAGGGACAGACTGTCATAGATGACACTGTACGACGTTGGTGCCACGGTGCCTTGTTTGACCCCCTGAGACACCAGGAAGAAGTCGTACTTCATGGGATTGGTGATGACATCATCGACAACTGTGCCAGGCACTGGGTTTTTTGTGCCCTTGAAGAATCTCGTGTTCGTGCCATTGTTGACGAGAATATAGCCGAGTTGAACCGGGGTGTTGTACACCTTCTCAATGGCTCTCTTCACGTTCATCACCTCGTGGTCCACCACGAATGGTATCTGTCCCTCGCCAACACCGTCCCTGTATACGACTATCCTCGAGGGCAGGGCTTTGTTCACCTCCTCGTACTTCTTGAGGGCCTTCACCATGTTCGCTGAGAGGTGATTGGAGAGCTCCTCGCCAGACGTGTGCGCTGAGACTGTCGAGAAGTAACGACTCAGCTTCTTGTCCAGGGAGGCCACCATTGCTCCTGGGATGTCAAGTAAATTGGTTAATATTACTACATTTTTTTGTTGGTTGATATTATAATTTAGTTTTTAGAGAAATCTAGGGGATTGGCTGGGGAACTATTTATTGGAGTGGAAATGTTCATTAGAAAATATTTCACGGACGAAAGTCATTGATTTTTTAAGAATGAGATGGAAAATCACAAGCATTTTGGCTCTGTTGATTTTTTTATTTTAATGGAATGATCGAGAAAATACTGTTTTGTCATTTTTTAATTTGAAAATTGAGCGGAATTCCACGGATGAATAATTTTATTGAAAAATGTAGCGAATTAGACAATTCTATTGAATTTCTATTGAAATTTCTATCAGTTTCTGAACGATTATAGAGAAATGTTTAGTAGAAAATCTTCTATGGAATTTCCTCAACTCAATTTTTCCCAATTTTTTTGTTTGATTTTCTGGTTGAAAAGAAATAAAAATCAAATGAAAAGAATTGAAAAATCTGAGCTCAGGCAATTGTGTAGAAAAATTCTATTGAAAAAGTCAATAGAATTAGATTTTCCCATATAACTTATTCTACGGAGATAATTTCTATAGAATTTCCTCGGCTCTCTTTTTCCAAATTTTTTCTTTGGTTATTTTAATTTTAAAAAAATATTATGAAATTTTTTTTTAAATTTTTAAACACTTCAAAAAATTGAGCTGAGTAAATTCTGCAAAAAATATCTCAATAGAAGAATTCTGAACGATTATATAGGAATGTTTAGTAGAAAATCTATAGACGTAAATAGAATGTGCTTTTTCTATACAACTTATTCTATTATATTTTCTATAGAATTTCCTCAACTCACTTTTTCCCAAATTTTTTCTTTGATTATCTCGATAAACAAAAAGCAAAAATATAATGAAAAAAATTTTTTTCAATTTTTAAAAACTTCAAAAAATTGAGCTGAATAAATTCTGCAAAAAATATCTCAATAGAATAAATTCTATAGAAAAATCGAATTCAGTTTAAGTTTTTCTATTAAATTTTTTATCGTGCGTGTCAGTAACATTTCTGTTATATTCACCGAAGTCTGTTCCTCGCTTGTTGGTATCATGACACACGTCGTATCCAACCACCATGAGACCACTGACGGGAACGTGAATAGTCCAGGGTATGCCTCCAATTTTGCAGTTCATCTGGATGGCAACTTTCGTTGCAATGGACATTATTCCTTTGGCATTCAAGCAACGAGCAGTCACCACTTGGCTCGGCACTGGTCGATCAATGCAGAGCTTCTTCTTAATCGCTGAATAAGTGTCAGCGCGATTCTTCGTGAGAATGCACATGACGAGCTGGGGATTTATTTTGCTCATGATCTTCTCGAGACACTCGGTGTAGGATTCAGATCTGTCGTTGCGAATTTCGTGATACTGGGGCTCGCTGATGGGGAAGTTCTTGGCGGAGCGAACCATTGCTGCGACGAATGTCTGGAAAAAGTGGAGATAGTGGGAATTTTGGATTCACATAAATCATTATGAAATTGTTGTCTTCTCACTATAGAGTATTTAAAATCATTCAGTATTAACGTTGATTGATGAATAGTATTGCGAAGTACTGGTGAATACTAGGGATGGAACGAAAAGCAGACGAATGACTGATATAAATAGTGATGATTGTTGCAAAGGCGTTTTACACCTCAATTGAAATATCAGTAGAGAAGTGGTGAAACTTAACAAGTCGATTCCTATATTTTGGGTAACTGTGCCTTTATCTCGAGAACGAGTGGTTTTAAGAGAAAATGTCGAAAGCCCTTTTCTGTGGATCGGGAAGTCTCCGACAAAAAATGTCTTTTGACTTTTCCTCGTAGAGCCATTGGTTACCGAAGCAATCGCATATTCAACGAGGTGTGAAAAATCGAATTGTTCTGTTAGGTTTCACCACTTCAATGCTGATGTCACAGGCATCGATGCTTTTTTCAACTTATCATCATATCTATTTCTTAATATAAAAAATCATTCATTGCCAACTTTTTTTCTGAAGAATACAAACGAATATATCGAGATAGGAGTCACGATTGCAGTGACAGAAAGAGTTGCTATTGAAGAAAAAAAAACTGATATTTACAGTAAAAAAAATGACGATTGAACTGGAGGTAAAGGGATCCCTCCGATATCCAACACGAATAAATCAACAGATGCTATTCAACATGAGCTGGCATCGACGCGCATTCAGTAATATTTCATAAACTGTATTTATCAATACCGATGATACTTTGTAACTAAAGAAAACGAGGCAAAGTGATATTCGTAAAATACATAACTAAAATAATTGAACAACGACTGTGATATTAACCGATCTTGAGACATTCAATTTCCACGTGAAATGATAGATAACAGATTGATGGATTTATCAAGTGAACGACCCAGACCACAAGCGATTAACTAATTCCATGAGAATCTCATTTAAATCTATCGCTTATATTGAATGTCGAGGACGTGATTTAGCTCGACATTGATTGTACTCGAGCTAAGAAATGAATATTAGAGTCATTATGATGAATAATACGGTAACAGGGGAACGTGACTGCTGTCAGTTCTCTTTTTTTCAGGGGACTGCATGTATGAAAGAATTCAATAAAAAATCCTGGGGCTTTTGTTGAAATTCCATTGGCAATTCATTAATTTTTTCTGATGTCTCCCATAAAAAAGTCCCACATGAAATATTCGATGGGAAAAAAAAATTATGAAAAATCTCTTCAAGTCAACGAAATTTCTTTTCCGTTGAAATTATTCTATGAAAATCCTATTCTCTAAATTTTTTCAATCAACTGAAACAGAATTTTTCCCATTCATTGAATATTTTTATTGCAGACAAATGGAATTGTCCGAGAGAATTTTTAAAGGAGCACTAGAATTTTCAATTGATTTTCCTCACGCCTTGAACCCTTTTTTGTGCGGCTACCTTAGCATCGCGGACGAGTCTCTCTGGTGCGACGACGATCCACTGCTTCAGCTCTGTGGAGATGTACAAGCTGTTGTCCCTGATGGCTCTGGTCCAATCTCCCTCAATTCCCGCATCAACTTTTTTTTCACCGCCAAAGTGGATCGGTTCCCTTGGCAAAAACCTCGCCGGCACTTTCAGGAGCTGAGTGTCGAGCTTCAAGTTCCAGTTCTGGAACTCCTGTTGAATTGCTGGCTCACTGTGCAATCGGCGATTGAACGTCAGGAGCTTCTCTATTCGTTTTTGTGGTCCGACCCTAGTGTGCTCAGCCAGGGCAGACATCAAACGAAAATCATTTCTCATCTCATCGGTGAGACCTAGGAGATAAATTCGAGGAATTATTGAGAAAAATTATGTCTCGAAGCATTTAAGAGGAGAAATGTTGGATGGCACATCCGGAAAAATGATTCATTTGAATCAGATAAAAATCTTTATTTGAAATTTTTCTAAATTGTTTATTTGTTTCAAGTATTTAATTGTATCAATTCTTTAAGATCAAATGAACAATTTATTTCAGCTAAAGAGTTTTCTTATTTTAAGAAGATCATTATTTATCATTAATAAAGAATTTATCTTTCTTTCAATAATAAAAATTAAACTAAAGACAAAATTTCAATTAAAACAAAATTTTTAATTCGAATAAAAACATTATTTCGTACTATTTAAATAAACTCATTTATTTGCTTCAAATAAATCATTTTGTGAAGATTAAAAATGTAAATTTCACTCTGACAGTTGAATTTTTAATAACAAAAAATGATTTTAATTCTTGGGAGACGTCAACAATTTTTGTCACGATTTTTTCACGAAAAATGAACTACTATTAAATTAAAAATTCAGTTACCAGTAGCTCTGCACAATTCAGGAACCAAATAAATGATCTCGTCCTTCCCAGCCCGACGATCACGAGCTGAGGACCGACTGACGAGAAGCGGCTGCTTCGGCACCTGGATCGCAATACCGTATTTGTTCTTGTAATAGTCGATATAACGAATTGGTTTGCCAGGGTCCTTCCTATTCTCGAAGGTCCCTTCAGGACTCTGGCCGAAATCCACGTCGTCGATGCGATAGGTGTTATTGTTGTAGCCCGTCAGGACTGTGATCCCAATGACTTCGACCTTGAAGGCGTTCTGGTAATCAGCAGGCTTACTCGCCCTGACTTTCTCCAGAATGTGAAGGATGGTCTCCTGCCTCATGATCTTATGATTAATTTCAGCACACATCAGGATGTCGTTCTCGTGCTGGCGAATCGAGGTGATGTAACCGGGCCACAGCTCGAACTTGTATTCTGCAATTTCCACCTGAAAAACATTTAAAAAAAATAGAATACTTTATTATTATTCAAGAAAAATGATTTTTTGATTCAAATAAATCATTTTTCTGGGTGAATTAAAAGGTCATCTTTTGAAGGGGGAAATTAAATATATTATTGAAAATAATAAAGTTGAATTGACAATTAAAAATGAAATTATCATCAGGAACTATTTAAAATTGTATTTTTATTTATCTTCAAAAGTGTCTACATTGGCATTTGATTAATGATTTGATAAATTTAAAACAAATTGAGCTTTTGGAGTCATGAATGGTACTTGATAATTTTGAGTTAAATATATTTCAATCAAAATGTTTAATTTGTCATTCTGAGGTGACCGACTGACAAATATATCATTCCCTTGGCGTTTAGAAGTCATAAAATAGAATTTAGTCATGAATATAATTTTTCATAGGCACATTTAATTGGAATAAAAACTTTATTTATTATTATTCAAGAAAAATAAATTTTTGATTCAAATAAATCATTTTTCTGGGTGAATTAAAAGGTCATCTTTTGAAGGGGGAAATTAAATATATTATTGAAAATAATAAAGTTGAATTGACAATTAAAAATGAAATTATCATCAGGAACTATTTAAAATTGTATTTTTATTTATCTTCAAAAGTGTCTACATTGGCATTTGATTAATGATTTGATAAATTTAAAACAAATTGAGCTTTTCGACTCATGAATGGTATTTGACAATTTTGAGTTGAATAGATTTCAATCAAAATGTTTAATTTGTCATTCTGAGGTGACCGACTGACAAATATATCATTCCCTTGGCGTTTAGAAGTCATAAAATAGAATTTAGTCATGAATATAATTTTTCATAGGCACATTTAATTGGAATAAAAACTTTATTTATTATTATTCAAGAAAAATAAATTTTTGATTCAAATAAATCATTTTTCTGGGTGAATTAAAAGGTCATCTTTTGAAGGGGGAAATTAAATATATTATTGAAAATAATAAAGTTGAATTGACAATTAAAAATGAAATTATCATCAGGAACTATTTAAAATTGTATTTTTATTTATCTTCAAAAGTGTCTACATTGGCATTTGATTAATGATTTGATAAATTTAAAACAAATTGAGCTTTTCGACTCATGAATGGTATTTGACAATTTTGAGTTGAATAGATTTCAATCAAAATGTTTAATTTGTCATTCTGAGGTGATCGACGGAAAAATATCTCATTCCTTTGGCTTTTAGAAGTCATAAAATAGAATTTAGTCATGAATATAATTTTTCATCGACACATTTAATTGGAATAAAAACTTTATTTATTATTATTCAAGAAAAATAAATTTTTGATTCAAATAAATCATTTTTCTGGGTGAATTAAAAGGTCATCTTTTGAAGGGGGAAATTAAATATATTATTGAAAATAATAAAGTTGAATTGACAATTAAAAATAAAATTATCATCATGAACGATTTAAAATTGTATTTTTATTTATCTTCAAAAGTGTCTACCTTGGCATTCGGATCGAAGTAGTTCCTCCCAACCAGCTGAAGGTTCAACGACTCCAGGCACTTTCTGGTCAAAATATTGTAGAACTGCAGATAGTGTGGGTCCCCCCTGGCCATGTCCCCAACGAGTCTGACGGTGATCCGCATTTCCTGTTTGTCGTGTTGACGGACAGCAATTAATTCCGTATTCTGAAGCAAACGATAAAAAAACATTGTAAAAAAAATAACACGAAAAATCGCCTCAATTTTCATTATATTTTTACGATATCTAATTCAAAATTGTTAGAAATTATTGATTAATAGCTATAATTCAACAGCGAAGTGGCAAAAGGAGATAAGTGCATTTTTTTCGAGATTCATAATATTATTATTACCTTTCGAACTTTAATATTTCATTGTGATTCACGCAAATTTTTTTTTTTTAATGCACTTGTCTCCTTTTACCACTTCGCTATTGAATTAATAATTGGATTTTTGTTATTGAAGAATAAATATTCTAGAATATTTATCCCCGAATGGAGAATTTCTGGTTCCCCAAGAGGAAAACAAATTAATTGATTAATGATTAGAAATTATTACGATGTTGACATTCGAATTCATAGAAAATTTAGATGAATTCTATCTCTGGGGACAACCTCTTTAGATTTCTGGATTCTCAAGAGAAAATAAACAATTGATCAATTCTATTAATTAATGAATTGATTAATAATAAAAAATTATTACGATATTTGACATTAAAATTAATAAAAAAATCTAGATTAAGTGACGTACCTCTGGGGTCAACCTGTTGGCTGTGTAGAGGACAGTGCCATCGAAGATGTACGATCCCAACTCCTCGCGACACTGACGAATGAGTCCTTTTTTGATTGCCGTGTGGTCCTCCTCGGGTTGGAAATCCACCCTGTACTGAAACAGACACCAGTCAGGCTGCTCCATGATCCTGAAATAGTTCGCCAGAAGGGTAGTTGGGTACCCCGAGGACCCCTTCTTGCAGTCGCGAACGTGCTCTGGACGAGTGGTGAGAATGTCTGTGCTGATCACTCTCCTCCCTCGGAGGGCACCTCTCCCCAAGCTCGAGCTGGTCTCAGGTCCTTCAGGTAATTCCAGGGGTGGCAGGTTAACGTGGGCAGGGGCCCGGGCTCTCACTGAACGTCCAATAGTCTGTGAAAATTGTGGGGACAAAAAATTAATTCACAGTGAGAAAAAAAATAGTTTTGGAGAAGAATTATTTTCTTGGGAGGAGAATTTATTTTTTTAGGTCCAAATATTGCAGTTATGGGCCATTATGGGATGATTGTGCTACATATGAACTTGAATGGACTCCATTGACAGTTATTATTAACATTTAGAATTATTCCAAATTATTTTTCGTAAGAAAATCTCAAATTTGAAGAAATTGAAAAATAATGAAAAGTAATTAAATTAATTAAGGGGGTTCAGTCAAGGTTATATGTAATTAACAAGCATGTATTAAGGCCATTAACAATTATTATTAACATTTAGAATTATTCCAAATTATTGTTCGTAAGAAAATCTCAAATTTGAAGAAATTGAAAAATAATGAAAAGTAATTAAAATAATTAAGGGGGTTCATTCAAGGTCATTTGTAGCATAATTATCTCGTAATTCAGCATGCAATACGCTCATAAAAAAATTAATTCTTCTCGCAAGAAAATGATTTCTTGCCAAAAGTATTTTTTCTCCCAGTGCAGCCCTCATCCGAGTTTTCGAGGAATATCTCTGAATCTATAGGAGATAACGAAATTTTTATAATAACCTTTTTTGTAGAGAAAATTGAGGGCTACAAAAAAGGTCATTACAAAAATTTTGCTATTTTCCTTAGATTCCGAGATATTCATTGAAAACTGGCCAATAGTCAAAATCAAGTTGAACTGTTGAGTGAAAAAGTTCTCATTTGTGGATGAAGAGTGAATATTACTCGGGGACATGATGGTACAGGGGGTAGCAAGCCACTTGGAGCTACTTCGGCTGGGGGTGGCGCTGGAGCCGGAGGACCACTGGCTGCTGGACGGCCGAAGGCACTCTGAGCTGCCGTCGGTGGCTTTTCAGCGACTGGAACTCCTCGGGCACGTCCTCGACTTCTTCCCACTGGCTTTCCTTCCATCGTTGAGTTGGCCTTCGTGGGGGAAGAAAAGTAAAAAATTAATATAAATTACTTTGGACGAATTATCAGGAATAAAAAAGTCAGGAAATTCCATCTCGTTATGAATTTTATTTGTTCTCTGATAATTTAGAGAATCCCCTTGAGATTTTTTTCTGTAGAAATTCGTAGGCATAAATTATAAATTCCCTGAGTTTTCTCCGCTGTTTTTATTTAATTTGTTATAAAGTATTTGTGAAAACTGTTTAAAAAAAATTATGAATGATGAAAAAGGAATATTAGAATTCTTTTTCTTCGTTTTCTCACATTTTCTTCCATAATTAATTATTCCCTGATTTTCCCTACTATTATTGTTCTGTAGTTATTTAGTAGTTATTGTTTTAAAGCATTTGTTGAAATTATTTTCAAAAATTAATGAATAATCAAATGGAAAAATTAGAATTATTTTTCTACATTTTCTTCCATAATTAATTATTCCCTAGTTTTCTCCACTATTATTGTTTAGTATTTGTTGTATTTATTTAGTATTTATCATTTTAACGCATTTGTTAAAATTGTTTTGAAAAATTAATAAATAATTAAATGAAAATATTATAATTATTTTTTTACGTGTTCTCACATTTTCTCTTATAATTCATTATTCACTGATTTTCTCTGTATATTTTGTTCATCAAAGGAAAAACTGTGACGAAACGTATTTTGTTTGTTCAAATCTGTCATATTCATGTTTATACAAGTTTCGATGATTTTTTTTTGAATATGGAAAGTGGGGGAGGGGACGCGGAACATCATGTCCACCCGGTACGAAGGGACCATGACACCCGTTTGTTCTTTGCGCCACCCCCTTGATTTCCCATGAGAAAATCCCCTTCGCAAAAAAACAAAAAAATGAAAATAAAAATGAAAAAATTACTAAAAAATGAAAATCAGAAGAATTCTAAATGTAAAGCAACTAATCACGTCTTCGCGTTATTTCTTACGAAAATATCTTTCTTCCGCTTTCAAAATGGATCACTTGAAATTTGCAACGCAGAATAATTTTTATTTTCTATGAAGAAACAGCAGTCAGTTTTTTAATTAAAAATCATCCAACTACTTCCGGAATAATATTTAATCCGTAAAATTCAATATTTTTGTGATAATTTACGAATTGATTCAGGAAAATGCTTCGATATCGTCAGTTTTTCACTTAAGAATCATGCAATTATTTCCAGAATAATATTTAATCTGTAATATTTAGTATTTTTGATATAACTTACGAATGGATTCGGGAAAATTCTTGAATTCCGATGGGAGAAATCCTTTTACTTCTGCACGAACTCGACTGCGGCTGCTCTGCACGAAGTTCCGCGCGTTTATGACGCCGGGTGGCGTCCCTCTGCAAGAAGAGACCCGAAAAGGGGTGAATTCGGGGGGAAACGCTGAATTACAGCGGCTGTGATTGGCCGAGGAGTACTCACCCCCAAAAATCTCAATCCTCCCCCAAATATATCCAGTTCCTGAAATTTCTATATGAAGGGGTGGTACGAATCCAAAAATGAATGAAGAAAAAATTACAGAGAAGAAAACGCTGTGGCCGGCATAGTCGTTTTTGTTGTGAACAATTGTTGATGGATGGACAATCGTGAGAAATAATGCGAGACATATTTTTAAAGCGTTTTGTTTTCAGAATGAGTTTAAAAAATCATTAAATAATCTTAAGATGCTTTAAGAAATTTGTTAAATTCCCGGTCTGGACTATTCATTTTTTTTCAGTAAAAATCTTCTGGTTACTCATATTGAGAATAATCTCAGTCCCCCCCCTACCTCATCCAAATCCCATCCAATCATTTCCTATGACGTCACAAAAATGTGGAACGCTATATAAATTCCCTTCTTTAATGTAAATTAAATTCATTTTGGAGTAAATTCATTTTGAAAAATAAGATATCTTCAACGATGATTTTTCACTTGCTAATTAAATTTTTTTAAAACACAAAAGAGCTGACGAAGAATTTTTTAAATGAAAAAACAGCAGAATTGATGAGTTTAATTTCACAAAACTTCTAACTTTTCCCGGAATGATATTTCAGAGATTTCTCACCTCGGGGCTCTTCTCCTCTATTTCTAATGAATTCTCGAAACATAAAAAAAATTAATGGAGTGGAATTTACTGCGTTCTGCAAATGAAAGATCGAATTCGATTTTGAAATCAGGGATAACTGGACACTAATTATCACTCAGCCATAATTGATACTTAATCCATCATTTTATTACGAGTAAATAGGAAATGTTCCATTGAACCCACTTGTAGACCCGAAGAATAATCATACATAAAGGCGACCAACTCCTGCAGTTACATCTCCCTGAACACTCAACCCCTCACAGAAACAATTCTTCGCCCCTCAATCCCTCCGACATCGAGTCACACGTTACACTCAAGCATAGACACTCATGTTCGTACCCTAAACTGCCCATTTTGGCATGTACTTGTAATATACATAAAGCAAGGCATTATTCACAGGTAATTACTCTCACCAGTATCTCATAGCATTGATTGCAACGCTCAACCGGTGGTAATTAACGGCATTATCATATTCTCCACGTATTTCGCACCTTCAGTGCAATTAAAACTATTAATTTTAGGATCACCATGAGATCAGGCTTCATTTCTTCACCTTCATCATTTTTTCATTAATAATCTTTCGAAAATATTCACTTTCAATGTTGAGGATGTCATGGGCAAGTCCACACTAAACAATTAAAAAATAATGAAAAAATTTACGTGATCTTTCGCTTTTTCTCAACTCTTCTTTATTCATTAAATTTTGTGCTTTTTGGGGAACATTTCGAGAATTTTTTCACTGAACTTCCCACGACATCCCCAATCCCATCATTTATATCTGTATATATTTGTAAATATAATGTATTTATCCTTAGACAATAATTTCTATCAAAGAACCCAAAATATAAATTGTAGATTAAAATGGTATCAATGTGACGTATGTCAAAGGCGCATGTACATATTGTCAAAATTGTTATTAAGCAATTATCAATAGGTTGTATCAAGTTTCGTGTAAAACTGTCTTCGATTATGGACGGTCTACGTGTGAAAAAATTCAATAGAAAAACTTCTAAAATTCTATTTATTTTTGCGTCAATTCTATTAAAAATTATATTTTATCATGAGAAACAAATAAAAATACAGAACTAATTTAGAGAGTTTACGTCCAATAATTTCAACAGAAAAATGAAAATATTCTGACGTGAAACAAAAAACAAATTGAATTTTTAATAGAATTCGAATGAAATTTGCTAGAATGGCTTTTCTATTAATTTTTTTCACGCGAGTCAAGCTAAAAATATCAGTAAACAATTGTTTGAAAACCAATGGACACCGGAATAACGAATGATTCGAATAAATCTAATCACCCGTCAATATTGAGATAAAATATTACTGTGAGATTCACGGATCAATATAAGTATCATTTGCCAATTACATTCCTAATACTTTCATTAAGACACTTTCTTCACATTAAAACACTATCGTAACATTAATTTTTTTCAACGAAAAAATTCGCAGATTTTGAACGATTAATCATTGCACATTAATGTTTTGTAACGCGGAATACATTTTCGTTATTCATAGACTTTTGAAAAATATTTTCGTGAGATAATCCCCAGACTGATTAATTACTTTCACTTAACAGTATTGACTACAATTGTTTTTTTTTCATTAAAGTGTTCATCTCTGGACATTTGCACTCTGGAGATCCCTTTATTTTACTGCTTCATTCTTTCATTCGTTATTTTAATATTGCGTAGCACTGGCTCAAGCTGATGACAAACATTTTCATGCAGGCAACAGTCACTCGTGACTATTTCAACACCAGTGGAGTTCATTAGCTCTTGCCATTCACGTTTATGTGACATTTCAGTCTCGTCACTTATTACACTAGGTTTATGGGGCACGTTAACTCGTGAGAGTGGAATATTGTGCATTTTTTTTTTAAATTTGAGGAATAAAATCTTCATTTTGTTATGAAAGTTTTATTCTTTTTATTTTTATGGCATTTTCCGTTAAAAATTACATGAAGATTATCATTTTTTTGTGTTTAGACTCTAATTAATGGAAATGGCATTGAAATAGAACATGATTTTGTAGAAAAAAACTCGAGGGAATAATTAATACAGATAAATCAAAAACCCTCGATTTTTTCAAAAGTTCAATGTTTTGTTTTTCTTGAGATGAGATTTTTTTTTACTTTTTTGCTGTAATTAATTAGAATTTCGTTGGAATAAAACAATTTCATAGAAAAAAAATCAGTGCTTTCTCTAAGAAATTCTATTGAAGCGAATTCTATTGAAAATCTGTGGAAAAGGATAAATTCTGCAGTTTTTCTTGCATTTTGTAATGAGAAACAATAAAAAATACAGTAGAAAATACCTCAGAATTTCTATACAATAAACTTCGAGAGAATAATCAAATCAGAAAAGTCGAAATCCCTTAATTTTCTCACAAATTTTATTTTTTGATTTTCTTATAAATTATTTGAAAATGGCTTTAAAAATATTATCTACTCTCAGAATGTTTTTTCTTGCAATTGTCTTTCAATTTCGAACATTCGTAATTGACCATTTTCCTTAATTACTCCTCTTGCCCTCGAACAAAGTGAGTTATCACGAATTTATCATTGGAAATTGTTTTCATCTCTCACGAGTTTACGAGAAAGTCCCTTACGTATATCATGAGTTACGCTGCAGCGTGCATCTACATGGCTAATCTATAGTTTTCTTCATTGAACAAACATGTAACAAGCTCCTTTCTTCAAAGAGCTTATGAAACAGAACTTATAGCGTTGTGTGGGGATCCCATTTGTGTCAGGACTTTATCCAGCCATTGCAGTGGCCCATGCAGGTGAGCTTCTATCCAGCAGGGAGTGGAAGTTACGTCTTGTCTGTGGTACTCTGCTCCCCAGCCCTTCACGAATGACATTCTGAAAAGAATCAACAGATAAATCACTTCGGAGAATCTAAATATGCAATGACTCTTGCCAAATTTTCCCCAATTTTCAAATGTGAAAAAAATACAGCAGAACAAATATTTAAAAATTAATCCCAAGGATCTTCAGTGAGGGACATTTTAAGGGCCGGGTGTACTATCTTTCGAACGTTATCTCGATGTTTTTTTTTATCTTTCGTCATCTGAAATTGTCGATTAAGTCCTGCATCATGCAAAAGTTTTGCAAAATTATGAATGAATAATAAAAAAAAGTAGAAAAAAATTTTAATTTGTTCAAAGAGCATTTTTAATTTATATTCAGAATAAGTTGAATAACAAAAAATTGAAGAATGTATCTGATTTACGGTGACAAATGGCGGCTTGTCACCCAATATCATGCAGGCGGAAGACTGATTTTGTAAATCTTTTCCCACACTGCACAGAGACATTTATTACAGAAAAGGCTCTTTGAAAAAAGTTGAAATATTTTGGGGAATTTTTTAATTACACTTTTATCACATAAAAATGGCAGATGACTACATACCACTGTTTTGAAAATTGAGATACCTAGCTGTCACTTGCCATGAGGAGTTAGTGTTTTGTTATCCACCATGGAATCAGATATTTGTCATTTCCACTTTTTTAACTCATTCTGAATCCCAATTAAAAACGCTTTTTGAAAAAGTTCAGAATTTTTTTCATTTTTTTCCATCATTCTATCATAATTTTTGTGAATTTCTACATGATGTACCACTCAATTGACAATTTTGGATTACGAAAGATGAAAAAAATCCAGATAACATTCAAAAGATAGTACACCCGGGCCTTAATGATTCATATTGACAAATAAAAATCTGTTGACATTTCCATCAAATTAAATTTTTCATCGAATTCTAATAGAACTCCTGGAGAATAATTATACAATTTCAATAAATTTTTTTAAAGATATTTTGTAATAGAGAAAAGTCTATAAATGTTGGTACTTCTTTGTAAATTACTCTGTCGGGGTTTTTTAAAATAAAATTTCTCAGGCATAAACATTCTATTTTACTTGGAATTCAATGAAATTTTAAATGTTTTAGGAGCAAAAATGCGAGAATTTCCAACAAAAAATACATCAACCTGAATTTTCCAAATTGATTTTCATAGAATAATTGAACGGAAATTGTATTCTAAATTTATATGAGTAATTCATAAGAACTGTATTGAATTCTTCAATGTTTAGTGACGAAATTCCTTAAGATTTCAATGAAATTCCAAATTTGTTAGCAGTAAAAATACGAGAATTCCCAATAAAAGAATATATTCATCTGAATTTTCCTGCTTAATTTTCATAGAATAATTAAACTGAAATTCTCATTTTCTGATTAAGTAAAAAAAATTAGCGCTCACTCTACAAAATTCTATTGCTATTTTACGAGAATTCTATTGAAATCTTGAATTTTAATTGACGAAATTCCTTGAAATTTCAATGGAATTCCAAATTTTTAGCAGCCAACAGCCGAGAATTCTCAGAACAGACAAATGCATTCACCTGAATTTTCCTGCTCAATTTCCACAGAATAATTAAACTAAAATTCACGTTTTTTCCTACAATGAAAAAATTCAATAAAAAACCTAGTGCTTTCTCTAGGAAATTTTATTCCATTTCTCTCAAAATTCCCTTGAAACCTCGAATAATCAATGACGAAATTCCTCTAAATTTCCGTTCTCCTCATAAAAAAATCCCCGACCTGTCCCTGAAGAACCACAACCCCCACCCTCCCCCAACCCACCTGATGGTGCACATCTTCGTGAGTTCATAAACGGCCTCGAACCCATGATTGACGCTCTGCGACAGGAGCTGAGCAAACTCCTGATTATTAAAAATCTTCAAAGAGCACCCAGGCGGAATTTTGCACACAGTGCTGGGATGAAAGCCATGATGATGATTGCAGTTCCTGGACTGCACAAAGATGGCCGAATCCGAGAGGCACTCAGCATAGACCTCCCCCCCAACATAGTAAAGATGCACCCCCTTCCCAATATGCCTCCTAGTGTTCTCAATAGTGGAATTCCTGTTGACATTGGACAGCTGGCCCAGACAGAATCTGTCCGAATTGTTGCTGGGATTGGTGAACCCATCCACAATGATGGAATGCGACTGGCAATGAAAGACCTCCCCAACCCTGCAGTTGAGCTCGTAATAAGCTATCGAAGCCCAGTACGGTGGCTCCTGATAGCAGACAGGTGCGACCTCAGTGGAGCCCCCAGTGTCCATGGCATTGGGATCTGGAGGTGGTGACTGGCCAGTCTGGGAGCCATCCTCAGGGGGTGAATAGGCAGGTGGAGGAGTCTCTGGCAGTCCATTGGTGCCATAAGGGCTCTGAGGATTGGGGGAAGTCGTCCCCCCAGGGCTGGCCACCGACGTCACCGAGGACATGGGCGAAGTGGGCCCCAAACTGTTGTTATTCCCAGCTCCCCCCACAGCTGTGGGTGACCCAGCCTGATTGTTAAACCCATTAGACGAGTAAGAGACATTATGAGGCATCGTGGGCTCTGGCAGCTGCTGAAAAGGCAGCAGTGAGTGCCCAGGGGCGAACTCCGAGTGCCTTGGCACCAGCACCGGTGGCAACACTGGGCTCTCAACACGTTTATAATGATAAGGATTGATGCACACCTCCTTCTGCTTCGCTGAGAACGGGTACTGGCACAGCTCCAGTGGCTTCAGCTCGTGGTGACTCTGGAGGTCTGGCCATCGCCAGACCCTGCAGTAGATCACGTGGGGCAGACCCTTGCGGTGGGACACTTGGAGTCTGCCGTCCAGACTCCTGGGTATCGTCACACACTTGCTGGGGGTGCCTGGACAGCTCAGGGCCCTCTCCAACTCCTCTATTGCTCCTTTACGCTTTTTCAACTTCTTCACTAGGGAGTCCACTGCCTTCTCTGCCCACTTCTCCTCCTCGTCACCCTGCTTCCAACCCAGCAGCTTCTTCACCGCTGGAGAGGTGAACGAGAACAGACTGTTCAGCGATGACATCGGCCCTGAACTCGACGAGCCCTCTTCGTCGTCCATATTATGAAATTTGATTTTTGGATACTTTTTTAGTTTTCTTTTTTTTTTTCCACTGATTTTTTTATGCCACTGATTTTTCAATAGTTTTTTGATCAATTCGATCTTATGAGGGGCGAGGGGAGGGGGTTGTGATCGATACAGAAGGGGTGTGTTTACAAACAATGGGAGAGGTTCACTTATTGTTGATTTGCAGTTTTGGCGATTGAGGGTTTAAGGGCTCCGGGGGGCCACCAGGGGCTCACAACAGGGGAGATTGTTTTTTCACTGTTTATCGATTATTTTAGGGGGGGGGG